TCTGTTAAGCTCTTGTGCTCATTTTTGTAACTACATTAATTCTTAGCAAAAACTAGGGAACATTTCTCGTATTCTTCTTCTTGAAATACCTAATCTATAAACAAACGACTTGAAGGAAAATAATGCTCCCACCACCGAGGAGTGTTTTGGTCCATCACTCCATCTTACTGTTGTCATATTTTGAATTGTGTTTCCCAACACCTTAGACTTTTAGTTTGCCATCACAACAGAGAACGAGTTTCTGAAAAGGTTCCTAAGGTGAATTTAGGGAGTAATACTGGTATTTTTACCTTGCTCCCCAGATAACATTTACTACATGAACAAATATGACAATGTGGTTTGATTTACTAGTGATGTCACTTGTGCAATTGTCCTTGTACCGAAAACGAACTGGACAGTAGTTCCTAGGGTACTGTAATGAATTCTTCACTCAACAAGTTCCCTTGTTTTCTCCCTTGATGCAGGTTGTGCCAAATACACGAAGCAGAAGCCAGATGGGTGAAACAACTGACGGTGGTTTATATGAGATTTTTCAACAGGATTATGGGCCTGTGGGATCACCTAATTTTGAAGCTGCTCGCAGAAACTTTATAACTAGCAGTGCAGGGTATGCTGTAGCAAGCCTTCTACTTCAGCCAAAGGATCGGCACAATGGAAACCTTCTTTTTGACAAGTATGCCTCTGCTAGTTCCTTTACCCGTAGTTTGTTAGAATAGTTAAATAAATTATTTATATAACACAACATGATGATTGATAAAACATGTCGACTTATCTTTTTCTAGAAAAATGACTTATCGTGACAAATCGTTACAATAATGTAAATAAAAACTATGAACAGTTATGGCACTAGTGTCAGAAACACATAATCATATAGGAGTGACTTATAAACACACACATGAGACTTAGTACCAAACCTGGTATTGGCCTGTTATATGTATGTTAACCACTGTGATATGTATGTCAATGCAGTGAAGGGAGGCTTGTTCATATTGATTTCGGTTTCATCCTGGAAACATCACCTGGTGGAAACATGCGGTTCGAGAGTGCACATTTCAAGTTGAGTCATGAGATGACTCAATTATTAGACCCCTCGGGGGTTATGAAAAGTGAAACTTGGGACAACTTCGTAAGGTGATTATTTTCTTGATTTTTATCCTTCTATCTTATCTGCATTTTATATTTTTATTGTTAAGGTCATTTGAATTATTCTTTTGTCAAATGCTTTGCAGCTTATGTGTGAAGGGATACCTTGCTGCTCGCCGTCATATGAATGGGATCATCTACACGGTGTTGCTTATGCTTGACAGTGGATTGCCTTGTTTCAGCAGGGGTGATCCCATTGGAAATCTTCGCAAAAGATTCCATCCCGAGATGACTGAGCGTGAGGCAGCCAATTTCATGAAAAACGTCTGCAACGATGCTTACAATAAGTGGACGACTGCGGGATACGACTTAATACAGTATCTGCAACAAGGCATCGAGAAGTAAAAGTCTCGGGTAAACCATCTTTAAATGTACATTATGGTTTGTAATTTATACATATTCTTTTACCCCATAGTTACAGTTTCTCGAGAAAATCCGACCTAAGCAATGCTAGGAAATATAAAAAGAAACGGCCCTTGCAATTGGTTTGTGATGAGAAACAGCCGAGTTCTTTGAAACAACAATTCTATGAAATTCTCAACGTCGATGAACTGAATCAGAGTCCAGTTGTAAACCTGAAAGTTGAGTTCCGAGTCTCATCTGTAGGAGATGGTTGGTTAGGTAAGCTTCATTCGGTTTGGTTTGATTCGGTTTTAATTGTGATGGATTCAGGATGATGATTTGTATATTTGAATTGCTGTTTAGGGATTTCAAGTTATTTTAAATATCAACATCAATTTGCAAAACGTGAATGAGGGTGACTTAGCTACGTAGGGTTTCGGGTTTACACGAAATGTCCTCGGAATTTGGCTAGTGATTCGCTATTGACGCTTTCTGGTGTTGGTGCACCTCTAATTTATTTTCTTTTAGAAACTATTATAGTCTTCTATTTTACCAGGTCTAACCGATATTTTGATTTGTCTAAGGCTACTCTTAAACTTTTCATAAAAATAATTGAAACTCTTAAATCGGCAAATCAGATCCACTAAACCGAGTAATTTTTTTATTTATAAAATTTAATGTTTGATCGATAAATTTAACGATAAGATCAACAAAGTGAATTCGAAAAATTTTGAACATTGGGGTAAAAACTATTAAGAATCTGATTGATTGATGGCTTGTGATATCATTAAATCTTTTTTGTTTTAATTGTATTTGGGGCCTTTAAATATTTTAATTTTTTAATGTTATTGGAGGTTTTATTTTTTTTAAAAAGAAGAGTTAAATGTATTACATGTTCTCAAAACATTACCTTCATTTTAAGTCGGTCTCTAAACTTTTAAATACTTTAATCTCATCCCTAAGCTATGACTATCATTCTAAATTAGTCATCAAATTTTTGAGTATTTTAATTTCATTTCCAAATTATATCATTTGTTCTAAATTGATTCCCAAATTTTTTAAACATTCTAATTTTATCCTAAATTATATGTATATACTAATCACATCCCTTGTTAATAAAATTGATAGGTCAAGTTATATAATTATATGTTTGGAAGAAATACAAATCTTTGGTTAAAATATAGTTGAAAATAATTACATATTTGGATGAATTTGGGGATGAAATTGAAAGATTCAAAAGTTTGTGGACCAACTTAAAAAGAGGGTCATAGTTTAGGAATAGAATTAGAATGTTTAAAAGTTTAAGGATTAATTTAAAATGAGAGTTATAATTTGGGGATGAAATTAGAATATTCAAAAATCTAAGAACCAATTTAAAATGAACGTTATAGTTTCAAGAATTATGATGTAATTAATCCTTTAAAAGATCATCAGTGTGACTCTTTAACTTATTTTGCATCTAATGTAGTTCTTAAATTGAAGAAGAAGAAAATTTAATCTAATCTTCTTACTTATAGAAATGGGTGTTGATTGTTATGATATTGATGTGACTGTTTATGATATTGATATAACAATCTATTAATCCACGATAAATGATGATGGGGTAAATAAATATTAATTGATTCTTTTAGATGATTTAAGTGCTTAATTCGTTTTTATATTGAAGTTAGATGTTTATTGAGTTTTTAATATAAAAAATAAAATTTATTTAAATTTAAAATATAAATATAACTATGAAAATATTTGTAAAATTAAACATAAAATATTAAACATAAAAATTAAATTAATAAAAATATTATTAAGATTAAAATATAACAAATTATGAATTATTAAAAATTAATATTTAGAAAATATAAAAGACTTAAACATATTCATTAAAAAATATCAAAATAATTGACTCACAACAACAATATCAAAAATTGAAAATTTTCTATAAAAAAAAACCATCATTATTAACGCGTCATTAATGATTTAAAATGAAACAAATCATTTTCAAAAAATTTAATGATAAAATTAAAACTTTCTAAAAATTAATGACAAAATATAAGTACATATTAAAGTTTGTGACTAACTTGATAGTTTACCCTTATAAAAGTCCTTTCCAAAGAAAAAATAAATAATTTTTTAGTTTTCCAATTCGCATGAATAAATCTTTAACGCACCGCAATCGAAAGAGAAAATAACTTCAGTGACCAAAAATGTATTATAATATACGATTTTAACCAATTTTTTTTGGATTTGCCAAAATGACCAACTAAATCGCAATGCGATCGATAATTCGCAACGCGAATCAGTTTCCAGATTCGCAACGCGAATTTCGACTATCGCATTGCGATTTACATATTCGCATTGCGATAGTTCAAGTTCGTAACGACTGGTGGTATTGTATTTGTTTCTTAAGAATTTTTTCTAAAAATATAGTATTCGCGCGGACGTGTCGAAGACACGTATGACCACGACCACGACCACGACCACGAGACGAGACAGCGGCGGCGGCGGCGCGCGAGAGTCCCCCTTGTTCTCTATCACTCAACAAGGAAGTGGGAAAGCCAAGCCTTAAATACCATTCCCAATAGTGTTTCCAATACTATGTGAGATTGAGCATTATCAACACTTGTTCCCAATACTATGTGGAATTGAGCCTTAAATAGTGATATTATTTTTGAATGTTTTGCTTAAAATTGCAAGAATCGTGATTGATTGTAGATTAACTTTTAATTATGACATATTTAATCGTATAATACTAATGCAATTGGTTGCTGATTTAGTTGTTTTAAGGTGCATGATTGTTAATTGTTTCCTGAATACACACTGTATTGGAAACAAGTATTGGTAATGTTCAATCCCACATAGTATTGGAAACACTATTGGGAATAGTATTTAAGGCTTGACTTTCCCACTTCCTTGTTGAGTGATAGAGAACAAGGGGGACTCTCGCGCGCCGCCGTCGTCTCGTCTCGGGTCGTGGTCGTGGTTGTGGTTGTGGTTGTGGTAATACGTGTCTTTGACACGTCCGAATACTATCTTTTTAGAGAAAATTCTTAAGAAACAAATGTAATACCACCAGTCGTTGCGATTTTGGACTATCGCAACGAATTTGGAATAAATCGCAACGCGAACTTGGACTATCGTAACGAATTTGGAAAATCGCAACGCGAACTTCGACTATCGCAACGAATTTGGAATAAATCGCAACGCGAACTTGGACTATCGCAACGAATTTGAAAAATCGTAACTCGAACTTCGACAATCGCAATGCGAATATGTAAATCGCATTGCGATAGTCCAAGTTCGCGTTGCGATAGTCGAAGTTCGTGTTGCGAATCTGGAAACTGATTTGCGATACCGAAGATCGCGTTACGAATTATCGATCGTATTGCAATTTAGTTGATCATTTTGACAAATCTAAAAAAATTAATTAAAATCGTATGTTATAAAACATTTTTGGTCAGTTATTTTCTTCAATCGAAAATCATAAACAATCGAACTTTAAACTGTACAAATTTGAAATCAACAAATTCCATTCAAAGCCCAATCTCTCAATTCCTCCCCCACTCTACTTTAATTCCCACTTTTATCTTCAGATTCCAGAATTCATGGCTCTAACGAACGAGGTCATCCATCTCTTTCCTTCTTACATTTTGTTTATTTACATTTAACTATGTTGTTATTAAGTATTATGCATCGAAATACCATCATTCTTAGTTTGAATGGTTATTTTCAGTCAATTTAGGGTTTATTTTATACAGTTTCTGCATTCAATGAAGAGTTATGGTGTTTGTTTAGTTTAACTTTAAAAAGAAAAAGAATTTGTTAAGAACAATTAGGGTTTAATTTATGTTGAGTTAATACTAATTGGTTATTGAATTGATTTAGGTGGGATTAAGGTTGCTTTTTTCTCCAGTTAGTTCCAACATTGTTGTTCGGACGGCATGGTAAGCTCTTAGTCAAATCACTTGGTTGCACCATTGATTATGAATCTGTTGCTAATTTTTGTGGTTTTTTCTTCTTCTTTTGTTTCATAGTTGTACAGTGGGGACTATTCTACCTGTTTACTCGACTTTTAAAGCGATTGAAAACAATAACCAAACTGAGCAGCGAAAATGGCTTCTTTATTGGACAGGTTACACATCTCTTGCAACTCTTCAACAGTATTTTGTTTTACATGTATCATGAATTTGATGGTTTATTCCTTTGTTTCATAACTCGGTACAAGTTAAAAGATGCGACTTTTCTTCCTATTGATAATTTAATCTAACAATAACTCAGTCTTTTTCAAATATATTCTTGCGTGGAAAAAAAAATTGTTTGGATTTTGTTTTGGGGGGCAAGTTGTAACTGGGAACAAACATGCAAAATAAAGCACAAAATGAAATCGTCATTTCATCTTTGCATAAATGCTATGCAAAATATATAGGCCTAAGCCTAATAATCCATTTATTCGTCACTTGTTTGTGTTATTTGCATTTTTCAATATCATACATAAGATATTTTATATTTAGATAAATTTTGAAACGTTCATGTTATATATAGGTTTAGACATGTTAATAATCTTGTTCTGTGTCCATTTTTTTTAATCTTGTGTATTATATTTGCCATGTGATCCTGTCATATCTAAAAGTACTTCCTCTACATGAAGGTGGGACTAATGAACTTGGTACTGTTTAAGTTGCTTAAGGTATATGTCTACTGCATGTGGCACATTATCAAAATAAATTACTGCAATGCATTATTCAACTTTGTTTTTACTTCACAGAAGTCTCATTTTTATTTGCAGTTTATGGATCTTTTACAGTTGCTGAAGTGTTTTCTGACAAAATCCTGTCTTGGTATCTTTTCTTAAACCTACTTGTTGCAACAATGGTTTCTTTTTCCAGTGTTGTTCATTTGTTTCCTTAACAATTTGGTTCTCTTTAATTGTCATTTAGCACTGTGAATTCAAACACGTAGTTAAGATTCATGGTTACAAGTGAACTATCAGAATTTAAAGTGTCATGGTGAACGTCTCTTGCTACACTTTTTATAAACCTAATTTGTTACATGTATGATTGATCAATGTTTGAAATTTACCAATTATTTCCTCCGGGGCTGTTTCTCACTTATTTCTAGGTTTAAAGCATTTTCTTCCGAGTGTTGCTCATTTTGTTTGTTTCATCAGGTTTCCTCTCTACTACCATGCAAAGTTTGCTTTTCTAGTTTGGCTTCAACTCCCATCTTCCAATGTAAGCTGGGTTTTTGCTTCTGTTTCACGCATAGGTTATGCTTATTAGTTATTACTCGATCTTGCACTCATCAATTTTAAAGGTTATAATAGCACTATTAGGTCCAACCAAGAAAATAGCTATCTTTAAGTGTTAATTAGTCAGCAAATCCTAGCATTTCGCTATGCTTTTTTATGTTTTTGCAAACAGTATTTATTTGTTGTTCTTTTTTATCTGCAACTAAGACAATGTTGAATCTAACAGCAAGGTACTCTTGATAATTAATTGCTCTCTAACAGGGAGCCGAGCATTTGTATACAAGCTATCTCCGTCCGTTGCTACTCAGGCACCAAGCTAAGCTTGATAAAGTGCCGGAGTTCATTTACAGGGAAATGGTAAGAATTTGTTCCTTTGTTACATTACAAGCGTTCTGTCATGGCTTATGCTGATTGATTCTGTTTGTGAACAGTGGTCCTCGTTTCTTTCCTTCGCGCCGCTGTCCCCCCATCTGTCTTTAATTCTTGTTGCCACGAACAAACAAGCAATCTATAAATTAGTTGCTGATTTGGTTTTCGAATTGTATGATGATTACCTGGCTTCTATTTAAGATTAGGAATTTATACATTCAACAGTCTTTGCTAATGAACGAGGCCTGCAATTCTTATAAAAAAAATAGTCTTTGCAAATGTTAGAAGCCTGATAGATTTTGTGTAACTGCAGACCAAAATCATTAACGCACACCAAACAGAAATCAAGTTTGCAAAGGCACTTTTCATGAAGCTCGTAGCATCAGGTACATACTCGGACCATACTCGGACCATACTCATCCGCCGAACTATATTTAAAGTTTCCGTTAGCTCTGCTTGCTATTTTTATTACATTTCTCTTCACATTTTCTTCTTACTACCAGTGCACCAGATAGTTTGGGATTTTAATCACCCTGTGCAAACACCGCGGAATCGTTCCATCGGAGGTCCGAGGCAAGTAGATTCTTCACATACACAATCAAACATTGAAGACTGATGCTGCCATAAATTTGCAGATGTTTCATCTGGTTCAATATTTGTTTGTATCATCATTTCTCTAGTTTATCATAGGCTTAAAGGTTTAGTATTTTATTTTACAAAGGAGATTCTGATGGAAATATAACTTGGATCCATCCTACTATCATGTGTATATATATACACATTGGTTATGTGTTTATTTTATTTATAATATAATTATTGGTGTTTATCTTTGATTATGTTTATTTAAAAATAAAATATTTATTTACAATTTTATCGTTTATCATTGACGAACATATTTTATTTATCTGTAAACATATATTCGTAAACATATTCATTTATTATTCATAAACATATTGAGTAATGACTAACCCATGATTTTAAATAAATAAATATGAACATAATTTTAATTTTTTATTGAATACAAACTAATAAGAATAAATTTAAAAAGGGTCAAAGCTAAAAATATATGCACTAAAATGTCCTAATTTTAATTATTAATTATTAAGAGCGTCAAAATGAAAATTTCCCATTAACTAAAGCGACAAAGTAACTTTTTAATCCTTAAATTTAATAATATCTTTAGTTTTGTTTCTAAACTTTATTTTAGTCCATATTAATTTGTAAATTTAACAACCTTTTTAATTTTAATCTTTTTGATAATATGACAATATAAGATGATATTACATATGACACACTATTAGCATACCACATCATGAAATGGACTGAAAATGGGCCAAAAATTTAAATTCAAGGTTTAATATGTACCAAAAAGAAATTAGAGATTAAATTGAAAAGGTTATCGAGTTCAGTGATTAAAAGTTAATTTATCCCTTAATTAAAAGATTGATAGTAATTAAATTAAACTAATTTAAGTTTTCAAAAGGACTAGATTGAAATATTACCATTTACCAAGGGGAGCAAGGCCCCCCTACTCCTGGATTCTCCAACACTCGGCTTTTTAAGTTTTCCTCAGTTCTTTTCTTCAGTTAAACACACTGTGAAGAGTCCAAAAAGAAAAATGATGCGCGCACACAGGGAGGGTGCTTTGATGAGGAAATCATCGCCGTCGGTGATGAAATCAAGAATATTAACGGCGGTAGCCATTGGGATTTCCATGGGTTGCCTCTTCGCTTTTCTATATCCTCACGGTTTCCTCTCTTTCTCCGCTGCTGCTTTCCGCTCTCGCCGCTTCCAGGTTCCATTTCAGTTTTTTTAATACATTTTGAGGAATTCGATTCACATGCTTAAATTTCAGATCAAATCATTGATCCCCAAATTATTGTTCTTGATATACTTTATGCTGATTGTATGCGTTTGCTTCATACCCTTTACTTCGAATTTTAATTGGGATGGTAAAAATCATGTTTGTTTACGGTCTAATTACGCTCTCAGTCTCTATAGTCTTCTTGCATTTGAAATTTAGTCCCTCTACTCTTTTAATTAGTTAATTGAAGCTCATTTGATTAAAGAGTGTTCAATTAAATTGAAATATGTGGCATTTTTAAATTAAAAAAAAATTGCTCACCTGAAGGCTAAATAAGCAAATGAAAAAGTTGAATATGGAGTTGTAAGGTTTTTTATTCTTCATATTTGTGAAGAGTACAGGGACTAGGAGCCTAGTTAAACCTTTATTTTACTGAAACTGAAGGATTATGTATGACTGGCTTTTGTTTTTTTATTTTTGTTTCTGGTTTATATGGATTTGAACCACATTATTTAGTTAATTTAGTCTTGAAAAATTATACATTTATGTTGTGAAATTTGCCTAGACCTGGTAATGTTTTATTTGGGGTTTTAAAGAGTTTGTTGATGTTAGATTTGATCATCTAATCTAGTTTTTGTAAGTGGGATTTTCTGGCACCGGTGTGGTATAAGTAAACAAAAAATAACCGAAATTTTACTCGTTTCTTTTGTAGATTCTATCTTCCGACTGTGAACCGTCTGAAAGGTTGAACTTGTTGAAATCGGGGTATGCGGCGGCATACGAGAAAAACAAAGATTTGCAACGACAGGTTAAGGAGCTAACTGAAAAGGTTAGGTTAGCTGAACAAGGGAAGGAACATGCAAATAAACAAGTTGAAGCGTTGGGTAAACAGAGTAAAGCTGGGCCTTTAGGAACTGTTAAAGGTTTAAGAACGAACCCCACAGTAATTCCAGATGAACTCGTTAACCCGAGATTGGCTGAAATTCTGGAAAATGTTGCTGTCCAAAGAGAGCTTATAGTGGCACTTGCAAATCGGAATGTGAAGGCATCGTTGGAGGTTTGGTTCACTAGCATTAAGAGAGTTGGCATAACTAATTATTTGGTTGTTGCCTTGGATGATAAGATTGCTGAATTTTGTGAGTCGAATGATGTTCCTGTGTATAAGAGAGATCCTGATGAAGGGATTGATACCATTGGGAGGACAGGGGGTAACCATGCTGTGTCGGGATTGAAATTTCGTATCCTGAGAGAGTTTTTGCAGCTGGGGTATAGCGTTCTCCTTTCGGATGTCGATATTGTGTATTTGCATAACCCTTTCAATTATCTTTACCGGGATTCGGATGTGGAATCCATGACTGATGGCCATGATAACATGACTGCTTATGGATTCGATGATGTCTTTGATGAACCTGCAATGGGATGGGCTCGATATGCACACACGATTCGGATATGGGTTTATAACTCCGGTTTCTTCTATATCAGACCAACAATTCCTTCAATCGAGCTTTTAGATCGCGTGGCTAGTCGCCTCGCGAACGAACCAAGGTCATGGGACCAGGCGGTTTTCAATGAGGAACTCTTTTTCCCTTCTCATCCCGAGTACGAAGGACTTCATGCTGCTCGGAGAACCATGGATTTCTATCTCTTCATGAACAGCAAAGTCCTTTTCAAGACTGTGAGAAAAGATGCTAGACTGATCAAGCTTAAGCCGGTCATTGTTCACTTAAATTACCATCCTAATAAGCTCGAGAGAATGAAAGCTGTCGTCGAATTCTATGCTAACGGCAACCAAGATGCACTGAAAGCTTTTCCGGACGGTTCGGAATGGTAAATTATGCTTCGCACAAATTCACCAGTGGACACCGGGTGTGAAAGACTAGTCCCGTAAACGGTTCAAACCGAAGCATATTCGTGACACGGACATGATTACACATACAAAATAAAAGAAAGTGGTTCCCTTCGCTTTATTCCCCCTGCTTCTGCAGAAAGCAAAGATAGGATATCTACAAAGGTATATGGTTTTACTTTATTCCATTTTTGCTTTAAAGATTTGTTCTTCGACTGCTCCGGGTTTACATTGCAAAGGTTTATAACAGTTCAAAGTTCGAATCGATCGACATGTAACTCGATTCATTCACTTTTCAATATGTATGTTAATGTGGAGAAGTACTTAACCAGGGTTTGTGCTTGAGGTCTTTCATTTAGAGAATAAAATGTTTCATTTTCTTTGATTTAAAGTTATAGTTTGAAGCATTGGATTTGCCTGTATAAGATGCTTAAAATGTGTGTATAAGACTACGCATATCATTTGGGAGGAGGCCGAAGTACATCCATCCTCCTGTATCTTGAAAAAAGAAAGAAAAAAAAGACAACAAAAATAAAGAAAAGAAAAAGAAACGGTAGTAAATCAACCAAATCCGAACTCGTCAATCGAATTACTATGTCTGTAGGAGTTTCGTAGTAAAAAGGACAACGGTGCCTACCGTCAAGACAACGAAAACAAATAACGAGTTTATCATCATCTGACATATAGTTTTAGCAGAAATTGGTGTGAAACCTAGGTTTGATGAGTTCTGACTCAACTCAATCTTATAAGATCGATTTTATATGAAAAATTAAGTTCATATCAATTTTTTCTTAAAGTATGAGTTTTGATCGAGATTACGAGTTCTTCGTCATCCTACCTACAGCTTTGGCCAAATGGTTTGATATTCTAAACCATTCAATCGTCACGTTCTTATTAGTTGACATTATGTGGATTTAAGTTTGATCGTCGGAAATATATATATTCTCTACATAAATTTATTTAATCTTTTTTTTTTTTATATTTAAAAGATTATATTTGGTCAACAATATCTAGAGTGAGTGATTAAAAGTTCTCAGTTAATACATTTCTTTTTTTATTTCTAAGTAAAAATTGTTCCAAAAAAATTATATTCAATATTTGTGTCCAAATATGTGTTATTATTTATGAATAAACTAATTGACATAGTTGTGGGTTCTTATATCTTAAGATGTTACTATTAGAATACTGAATGCAATCAAACTGTAGGGGTGTTCAATCGATTAATTTGGTAAGTGGTTCAATTGAATTAATTGAAGTTTTTTCTTCAGCCATAATTGGATCAAAATTTTAAATTATTAAATAAATCAAATAAAATTTCGTTAAATCGATACGTTTTTTAATTAGCCCAAATTTGTTATAATATTTTTGGTTAGAAAATTTGGATTTAATTTAGGTAATTCTCTCATTTGGGTTAACTTATACACTTACTTTACTTTTAAAAATAATATTTATAAAATCTAATATTTGAATCTTAACGTCGATAACTCGTTTCAATTAATCTCTTTTTTTTTCCTTCAAAATTGCATCTAATTCTTTTACAATTGTAATTTGTTGTATAAAATCACAACTCTAGAAAATTATGTACTTAATTGAAATTCTGATAAACCCCCGGTAATATTGGTATTTTATCAAAATATTCGACTCAGACAACTCGGGACTCAGTTGAATAGTGTGGTGAGTATATTCCTGAACCTTCACAAACCCTCACTCACTCACACTTCACAGTTGACATCACACAAAAATTCCGTAATCAGTAAAATGGGGAAATTGTGGTTAATTTTAATTGCGACGATCTCTATCCTTCTTCCATTTCTCTGCAATGCTTTCTCTCCCGAATCGCCGACCGACCGCCGACTCCTTGTTCTCCTCGACGATTTCGCCATCAAGTCTTCTCACTCCATCTACTTCAATTCCCTCAAATCACGTGGCTTCGACCTTGAATTCAAACTCGCCGATGATCCAAAGATCGCCTTGCAACGATACGGACAGTATCTTTACGATGCCTTGATCCTCTTCTGCCCCTCTGTGGAACGTCTGTCATTTCACATTTTTCTATCGTTTAGTGTTTTAGAATTAAGTGTTTTTCTTTTTTAAAATCGGTTATCGGTTGAATTAGGAAAGCGTTTTTGTTTGATTAGGATTTGGAGGATCTATTGATCTTGCTGCCATTATCGATTTTGTTGATTCGGGTCATGATTTAATTATCGCGGCGGATTCCAATGCTTCCGAAGTGATTCGGGAAGTTGGTATTGAATGTGGAGTTGACTTTGATGAGGTTCGATATGCCTTTATTTTATAATTTGATGCTTCGTTCTTTGTTATTAATTCGCTTGATTTATCATTAAAGCTTCCTTCTTTGCTGCTGTGTAGGATCCGTCGGCTATGGTTATTGATCACATCAGCTATGCTGTATCGGAAACCGAAGGAGATCATACATTGGTTGCTAGTGATTATTTGATCAAGTCTGATGTGATCTTAGGAAGCAATAGAATTGTAGTAAGTGTCACCTTCTGGATGTTTTTTTGACCCCAAGTATTGATGGTGTTTGTTCAATGCATTTATCTTCAAATTTGGGTTTGTTCCGACCATGTCAAAATAGGATATACCAATGCACCTTTCTTATGATGTTTTCTAGGTTGTTAATATTGAATTGAGGCAAAACTGTCTGAAGAATTCTTAAAATTTTATGTAAATATGTAGAATCAAAATTCATGAAGCATTGGCTTAGATTTAGTTTAAGTTATAAAGAAGAAATGGATCACTGAACATTTTTCAACTCAATGATTTATTTGTGAAGAAAAAGGAGGTCATTAAAAGGAATATAATCACTTTTGATAGTATTAAGATGTTTTCTTTTCAATTTAAGAGAAGAAAAAATTATATATATCAAGTTGACTGTTAACGCAAGAAGATTCGTAAGCTTCAAATGCTAAATTTGATAAATATTAGTGGGGAAAAAGTTTATTTATATCAAAAGTTTTCTTTTCAATTATTATTGGTATCGGGCAAAGGCATGATCTATTATTTTTTTGTTCTATAATAATTTCAATAATATGTCAAATGTCAATCGTGGAATGACAACTTCCAATTATTCTAAATATACCCATGTTTTTTTAGCTTACATGAATTCTGATATGTATTTTGAGTCTTTGACGCCCATTTCATGTTATGCAGTTTCTAATTACTGTGAGTCTGTGATGACTGATGATAGTTATCATTTCTAATTTGTTTTCATTAAAATTGCTGCAGGCTCCTATACTTTTCCGAGGCATCGGGCATTCACTGAATCCTGCTAATAACTTGGTATGCTACTTGCATCTGATTTGAAGGAATTTAATCATGTACAATTTATTAATGACCACGACCTTTTTTCTCCCTTACAACGTACTATTTTTTAGGTGTTAAAAGTTCTCTCAGCTTCTCCATCCGCCTATTCGGCTAATCCCAAGTCCAAGTTGTCAACTCCTCCAACATTGACTGGTTCTACTATCTCCTTAGTTTCAATTGTCCAGGTAGATCACTGGAAACTGATCATATATGTTCTTTGTCTATACTCTATGGCATTAAAGTTTCCCTTCCATATAGTTTTCTACAAGATGAATGGAAGAATCGTATGTTGTGACTCAAATATATCAAGCAATTCAAATAAACTTATGAACCTTTTTTTTAATTTTTCTTTTTAGGCCAGGAACAATGCACGGATTCTGATTACTGGCTCACTAAGTATGTTCAGCAATAGGTACATGATATAATAGCTTTTAACTGGTACCTGTGTTGATGAATATTTATTTTGAATTTAATAACATGTTATTTTCCTTGATGAACTGTTTAAATATTTTCAGATTTTTCAGATCTGGTGTGCAGAAGGCTGGGAGCCAAACCAAGTCAGTGAACTTTAACTCTCTAAACTACCTTTTAAATATGACAAAATGAGTAATATTAAACAAATTAGCAGTAATCTATACTGATTAAATAAAGGAAAGAAATAAACAAGTTTTTAGGTTTCCATCATATGAAGTCCGTATTAAAGCTTCATCTTTTATGTGGATCTTCTTATTAAGATGCATTTCCAAATTTGAGGTCAACTTTTGTCTTTGGAGTTGCTCCTAAGTGCATGCTGAGATTATTGTTTAACTGATGTACTTAAAAACACATTATATTGAAAAGTTCTTTCTGATTGCAGACATGAGAAATCAGGCAATGAGCAATTTTTGACTGAAATTAGCAAATGGGTTTACCATGAAAGAGGTCATCTTAAGGTAGGCATGTTGATTAGTTCCCCCCCCCCCCTTAAATATTTGATTCTTTTATGAAGGCATCATTTGGAGGCATCTGCTTTGTTTTTTTTAATACATTTTTGTATTCAACATAGACTTTTGACATGTTTTTGATTTTTAGGCTGTAAATGTAAAGCACCACAAAGTTGGAGAAACTGATGAACCTGCTCTATATAGGATTAATGATGAATTGGTAATTCTCCTACCTTGCTACTTTGATGCAAGGCTTAGTAGCATATAAGAAATTTAACTGAAAAGAAATGGGTGTATTTCTTGAAGGAATACTCAGTTGAAATCTATGAGTGGTCTGGAACAAGCTGGGAGCCATATGTTGCTAATGATGTTCAAGTTCAGTTTTACATGATGAGCCCTTATGTTTTGAAAACTATGTCACATGACAAAAAGGTATGTCATTTGCTTCTTGAGCTCGTACAGTTTGTGCTATCGGTCTGCCCTCGTTATGAAGTCGCCCATTAAAAAAAATCGATCTATTTTGTCCTGCAGGGTCTATATTCCACATCGTTTAAGGTTCCCGATGTTTATGGTGTTTTCCAATTCAAGGTCGAGTACCAAAAGCTTGGGTATACAAGTTTATCCCTTTCAAAGCAGGTAATTAGTGTTGTTTTTCATGATTCCGGATACGAATTTCTTTCTTGAGACCTAAATCTCTTACTAGTTTTCCTAATCCCATTTTATGTGAAGTATGTAAGCTTGTAATCGATGTTAAAATTCAATAAAGATCAGCATATACATTTTCATCTATGATTGCCTTTTCGAGATATTGCCTTGGGTCTTTCGCATTCCATGTTATATATTTCTTGAAGTTGTTGGCTAAAATTGTTAATATATTGAAATTGGATTGCAGATTCCTGTCAGGCCATACAGACACAATGAGTATGAAAGATTTATACCTGCTGCATACCCCTATTATGGAGCTGCATTTTCTATGGTACCAGTCTCTCTCTCTCTCTCGCTCAACCATTGTTAGCTCTATAGTTTATAAGTTAACCTATCAAGTTTGACCCAAACCTGAAAATCCGATACGAGTAATCTGAACCTGACCTTTACCCAATTTAACTCTTAAAAGTCAACAAATCGAGCCTGAATATTGAAAATTCTAAAACTCGAATTGACCGACCCAGATAGACTTGGTCTGATAGCCACCCAATTGACAGGTGTACTTATCGGCCAATCTTTCATCGGACAATTTTAGGGTTTTGTTTTCCGGATGAATCATTAGGGTGATATTTAACTTTTATTGTGTTTATTTCTGTGTGTAGATGGCAGGATTCTTCATCTTCTCCTTTGTCCATCTCTACAGCAAGTAGACTCGTAGCACCTCCAGCATACAGGTGGACCGTTGGATCTGGAATTATTTTTAGTGAGCAATGAATCAATAGAGAAGTTTAGGGTTTTCAATTTGATGCGTAACTCTCATTTTGCCCCTACTTTCTTTTTCACGTCGTTTAAACATTTCAGAAATATTATTAAAAGGAATTTTGAATTTCTTTTTTTCGAGTTTTTTCTACCCTAATCATTTCAAGAGAAAAGGAGAAGGGTTGTATGGGACATGGTTATCAAAATCGGATCGGCCGGTTCAATCGGTTGAACCGTGAACCAATGGTTTGTCCGGTCCAGTTATCTCACAAAACCGGTATGATAATGAACCGGTTGAAAACTGGTAAAATCGGGGTGAACTGGTAAAACTGGGGTGAACCGGTTGAAAATCGATAAAATTGGGGTGAACCGGTTGAAAACCGGTTTGAACTGCCGGTTCATTTTTTTCTTTAAAAAAAAATTAAACCAAACGACGTCGTTTGTTCAACGAGCCGAGTCAAATTCGAGTATTGCTGAGCTCGACTCGAACTCGAAAACTTTAAAAGTAAGCTCACTCAACTCAAAAACTCATGAGCTAAAATTTATCAAGTTCAATTCGAACTCGAAATATAATATTAAAACTTGAACTCGAAAAGGCTCAAACTCAAAAAAAATTAGAAGTTCGATTGAAGCCTAAAATTTGAGTTCAATTTAAGCGAAAGAATAGTTTGCTCTGTGCTCACCAAAAAACTCCATGATTTTGAATGTCAAATTATTTCTATTATTTATAGAAGTAAGTTGGGATGTTCTTCTATGTTTCTTAGCTATGTGAGATTGTTTTGTTCTCATATTTTTACTCTTTAAACTTTTGGGATGATCTTCTGTGTTTCTTAGTTATGTGATATTATTTTTTTAAAATTAAACCAAATGACATAGTTTATTATGATTTTTTAAGCCTCAATTTTATTTTTTTGATTATAGTTATATAATTATATTTATTATTTAATATGTTTTACCTTAAATATTATGTTGTAGTTGATTTAAATCATTTTGTTTCGCTTGATTTTATGATTTTTAATTTATATATGTTATGACTTGTGATATTTTTATAACTTTTAAAATTGTAAACTTAAGAAAAATATTATATATATATATTAATACTGCTTTGAATATTATGTAAAATTAAAAAAAAATTATTTTATATAAAATTCGATTCAACCGCGGTTGAACCGGTTGAACCAGTGAATCAGTACCTTCACCGGTTCAATGTCCGGTTCGATTTTAAAAACATTGATATGTGATCGAATTCGAATCTAAATCAATCAAGACTAAAACGATGTTTCTTACAATTACACCAATATTTGGTTGATAAAAATATATAATATTATAGTTTACCTTTAATGGTTAATGCTATGGATTACTTAGTAACTATTTGATTAATTACACCCTAATTTGTGGTGCATGTCTATATAATGCATCTAATTTTTTTTAATATTAGAGGTAAGGTTATTCCAGCGATTTAATTTCTCTTTAAAATTTATTAAAAACTTGGGTTTAGGTATTTTTTTCGGATGGGCGGAATTTGAGGTGTTTATTTAAACATTTAAAAGGTAAAATTAAAGAAAACGAATAACATATTTCGAAGTTATTATCTTATCCGTGTTTATTAGAAGAGGTTAAAATTTTAAATTATTAAACATTAGATTGATATTTTTTTAAAATTTTGAATGAGTTTAGTAAAAAGAAATTTAAAGAGAGAATTAGATCGTAAAATACAGGCACTTTCAGATTGATCTTATTATAAAGGGCAAATTATAAGTTTACTCTCTAACTTTATTTTTTTATTTCATGTATTGTATTTTTAATTTTTTCAATTTAATCATTGAATTTTATACATTGAACTTATTTAGTCACTCAGTTGTTAAATTTCTAACGGTGTTATGATATGATAATCAACACCAAAACGAAATAGTTTTGAATCTTATTGAAAATCAAATTTTGACCAAAACGACGTAGTTTTAATCTGAATAAAATTTTATTTTTTCCTCTTTATTTTCTGCTCTTTCTTCTTCCTCCTCTCGTAAACCTCAGTGAACCTAGATTTCGGCAGTGACACTGGCCATTATTCTAACCATTATCGATCATCTTCGCTAGAGACCAATGATCAAATAATGGCTTTATCTCTATACCAACCTATGAAGTGTGGATCAGAACTTGGTCATATACCAATGACCATGAACTTGAGATAAAGAACTCGGTTACACACAGATAAACCAATGGATATCTTAGCACCAGAGGCATTGCTACCCTCCTCGGATACAGCGCTGAAGTTCAGTGGGGAATCGCGGTGAAGCGACGATGCAACAGCCAATGTTGGTTGAGACAAAAAGAAAGGGAATTGCAAATTCTATTGCAAAACTCCATTATCAATAATGTCGTGACTTATTCTAATCCACACTACAAAGGTTGGTATTAAGGTGAAGCCAATATTTGATCATTGATCTCTGCTGAAGGTGGCAGGCAATGATGAGAATAGTTCATTGAAGTCGAGGAGAGAAATGATGAGAAAAGGGGAGGAAAAAGGGGAAAGAAGAAAAACACAAAAAGCAAAGGATTTTTTTTTTTAATTTACATCAAAACTCCTTACTTTGGTCAAAATTTGATGTTTTATACGTCGTTTTATTTGATTGCCAAATCATAGCACCGTTAGAAAATTAACGGTTGAGTAATTAGAAAAATTTAATGTATAAAGTTTAATTATTAAATTTAAAAAAATAAAAGTACAATGAATAAAAAAAGAGAAAATAAAATTTAGTAAATAAATTTTAATTTACCCTATTATAAACGATATTCGGTTTTCTATATAAAAAAGAAAAATATATAGTTACATTATCATGATATTAATAATTTAATTTTAAAATTAAATAACATAAGGTTTAACTTGACCCCCTACTGTACTCTGTACATCTATCTTGGAGTGAAGAAGTTAATAAAGAGAAGAAAAAGACCAGAAAAGAAAATAATTTCTATTATTTTTTGTTTAATTTAACAAAACATATAATTTATTAAAACTTGGCAAACAAGCGATACTCATTTGGCAACTCTTTTACTAAGATCACTTCAATTTTAGATCAACCGAGAGAGATTTTTCACCGTTTTTCGCTAAACCACGCGGCAATGAGTTCCATGGAAATCGATTTCAAGCAATATCAGCTCCGATGTCAATTACGAGGCCACGAAGACGACGTAAGATCTCTGTTTTTTCTCTTATCGGTTATGTATTCGCCATTTTTCCTTTTAATTTCGACCAGTTAGGTTTTTGAAAAAAAATGTAGCTGAATTTTTATTTTTTTAGGTTCGTGGAATATGTGTTTGTGGAAATGAAGGTATAGCCACTTCTTCAAGGGACAGAACGGTTAGGTTCTGGTCGCTTGATTCGTCAGATAAGCGTAAGTATGTTTCGTCTAAGATTCTTTTAGGGCATTCGAGTTTCGTCGGTCCATTGGCTTGGATTTCACCGGATGAGGAGTTTCCGGAAGGTGGGATTGTGTCAGGTGGAATGGATACTATGGTTTTTATTTGGGACTTGAGGACTGGGGAGAAAGTGCAGTCACTGAAGGGTCACCAATTGCAAGTTACCGGTGTGGTATTGAACGATGGCGATATTGTTTCCTCATCCGCTGATTGGTGAGTTAATTATAGTGTTCTACGGGAAGCATTTTACATTTGTGTGAAATAGTTATGTTTGGCTTCGTTTAATGTTCAAATTAGTTTTAGTTAACCATCTGTTTACATGGTGCATCTGCATCTTAGCACTTTAAAACGATGGAGAAAGGGTCAACCTGTTGAATCCTGGGAGGCACATAAGTTAGCCATCCAAGCTGTAATAAAGCTTCCTTCAGGGGAGCTAGTTTCAGGTACATATATTCTCTTTCATTAGTTTTATTTAAGTTATTCAATGATGCAAATCCATCTATTTTGTTGGTAAAAGTGTTGTCTTCTGGTCTGTTAACAATAATTATTTGTCATAAGAGTTCTATCTGAATCGTGAATGAACAAAAAATGTTGAGGGGAAAAGAGATTTAATTTTCTTTAATGTACTGCAGGTTCGACCGACACAACCTTGAAACTTTGGAGAGGCAAGACTTGTTTGCACACTTTTACTGGGCATACTGGTAAGTCTCTCTGCTCCCCTACTTTTATCATGCTTTTTCTTACTGGATGGATAATTACATATAAAGGCTGCTGTGTTTAATGAACTGCCATTACTCAGAAAGAGCATGTCCTTAATACAATGTTAGATAGTAGTTTGCACTAGCACTCATGCTTTTGAGGGTTGTGTAGATACTGTTCGGGGTTTGGCAGTCATGCATGGATTGGGGATTCTTTCTGCATCACATGATGGGTTAGTAAACTTCGCCGCTTCTTTCATTATTCCATTACCACAAATTAAGACTACAAAGAGACTGTTCTTTTACTTTAATTTTATTTACATGTTCCTTCCTTTATCCCTCTTTTAGTTATTGACCATGTTTCTATTGCTTAAATGTATGGAAGTTATTCTTAATACCCTTTCTTTTTTTTCTGCATTAGTTCCATTATGTTATGGGCACAAAGTGGTGAAGTATTAATGGTGATGGTTGGTCATACTTCCATTGTCTATTCAGTGGATTCTCATGTTTCTGGATTAATTGTCAGTGGTAGTGAAGACCGTTTTGCAAAGATATGGAAAGGTGATTGTTTCTGTCTGCCATTTATATTTATGTTTAAAATAACCACGTTCATGAATTAGTGACTAAGGTTTGCAACTGTTAGTCTAGTCATGGGGTTCATAACATAGAGTAATTTTTTGTTGACTTCAGAGGACTATTAGTTGCTTATTCTTAGATAACTTAACAAAGTTTTACGTGAATCTTCTTTGGCTTTCTTGGTTTTGAGTGCATTTTCTACATAAGTAAAACAATAATATAACTTCCGTTTTAAATTTTTTTCCTGGTCTTCAGTTAATAAATTTGTTTTTTCTATCATTGTTCCTTGTTTATTTGTAATCCCTTTGGGTAGAAGCACGTTTCACCATGAAAACTTGCTTAGGTATTATTTATCAAGTGTAGCTGAAAGCATAACCAGTTATTTAATTTCCTTCGGTATAGAATATATTTCATCACATTAAAGGAATATTTTATCTTTTTTCCCCTCTCAGTGGTAAACTTATGTTTTATTTATCTTGAATACTCTGTAAGAAACATTACTGGTTATAGGATTTTATCTTTTTTACACTTATAGCTAAACATGGGTCATATTCATCACTGATATTGTTATTATCACTAAGATAAATGTGTCTTAATTGCAGATGGAGTTTGTATGCAAAGCTTAGAGCACCCTGGTTGTGTTTGGGATGCTAAATTTTTGGAAAATGGAGATATTGCAACTGCATGTTCGGATGGAGTTATAAGAATTTGGACAGTAGATCAGGGTAATGTTGCAGATCCAGTGGAAATTGAGGCATATTTTTCGGAACTTTCCGAATACAAATTGAGTAGGTATGATCATATAACACTTTCCATTATCATATGCTTACCTTATTGTTATATTATGATCATCTTGTGCCTTGGTCACCTTTTCTTCGTAAAAACATGGGACTCTTCGGCAACTATTTATTTCTTTTCCAATTCTCTCTTTCTTCTTATATTTCAGTAAAATATATTCTTCTCCCCAGCAGTTCATTGCGTAATTTTATGATCTATTATGCAGTTGATTGCTTTCTGGTTCACTCAAGAGTTCCTAAGGTTTTTAACTTTTCATCTTTGCCTGATATCCATGTCTTACCTTTGTGTTTGTATTAGGAAGAATGTGGGTGGTCTGAAACTGGTAGATTTACCTGGGCTTGAAGCTTTGCAGATTCCAGGTGTGATTCTAACTGCTAGTACATTTAGTTTTTTATGTGGTGCAGGGCATGCTTATTCTCTCTAGTCTAGAGATTTAGAAATACTAAATTTTCCTGACCATAGTATTTTTTTTTTCTTATCATATCTTTGCTGGTAGTAGTTGAATATATTATTTAATGGTTGGTGTATCTGATCAGGAACTAGTGATGGAAAGACGAAAATTGTTAGAGAAGGCGATAATGGTGTAGCTTATTCATGGAATATGAGGGAACAGAAATGGGATAAAGTAACTTGATTCTAATTCTCCTTTTTTATTTTTTCTCTGCTTTAAAAATTTTGTCTCACTTATCTGGAGTGCACTGTTCATTTTTACACTTTACATTATTTGAGGAACATGAAAGCTTTGATGTTTTAGTTATTCTGCATTTTCGGTTCATAAGTAGCATTTTTTCAGATTGTGTTTTAAATAAAATTATGACTGTCTTTTTAAAAAGTTCCAATAGATAGTGACAAAGGCAGAACCAGGAGGCAGGCAGTGTCCTTGGCCGTCCAAAATGGTAAAATTGCACTTAAGTCGATTAAAAATTGTGAAAGAATAAGTTAATATGATGGTCTAATCACACCTCCCCCAATATAAATGATATAATATAATTCAGTGACCCCCCCCCCCACAAATGTTTTTTCTGGCTTTGCCCCTGGATATAGGTGACGTATCTGGTGGAACATTTATTAATGAAGCAATATGCTCTGTTGCTAACTTTGTCTTAACATTTGCTACTTCCATCTACAAATTCCTATATTTGGCTGTTGCTTTCTGATTCAGATTGGTGAAGTAGTTGATGGTCCTGATGACAGCATGAACCGCTCTGTTCTTGATGGAGTTCAATATGATTATGGTCAGCAGCTTTGTTTCGTACTCATTTAAGGTTAATGACATAAATGTAAATATATTCATAATTCTTATGTATTCTGACTCAGTATTCGATGTTGATATCGGTGATGGGGAGCCTATCCGTAAGTTACCTTACAATCGATCAGGTATCTTTCTGTTGTTGGCCTTGTATTTTCTGTTGTTTCAAAATTAATGTATTTTCCCTCAAATCTTTTGGGTCCAAGCCTTCTTTCACCTTAATCTTTTATCCTTCTCTAATTCCCCTGCTGGCGTTCCTTTGTGAAAATTAACTACCTTCTTTGTAAAGGAAAAGACAAGAAAAGAATTTTTTTTTACTATATCACCTTTTACCTTCTTATGAACAATAGGAAGCATGTCTTTCTCTAGCTTGTTATTCTTTGTGAAATTTTATTATGGATCAGGCATGCAATGTTTACCATTTATAACCATGTTGTCTGTGATGAGGAAATTTTTTTTTAATGACTACGTTATCACTTATGATCAAATTCATGATAGTGAACTTGTCTTTTAAAATTTACATTATAATTTGAATGACTTGCAAGTGTCATACAAAAGACAATTTCAGAATGCAATATTAACCTTAAGGGATAACACGATCTAGTATCTTTCCAGATAATCCTTATGACACTGCTGATAAGTGGCTTCTGAAGGAGAACCTTCCTCTTTCCTACCGCCAACAAATTGTTGAGTTTATACTTCAAAATACCGGGCAAAAGGATTTCAATATTGATCCAACATTCCAAGATCCGTATACTGGCGGTGAGTATAATATTTTTTTTATCTCTGACCTCACTGTTGGAAGCCTTATGTGAGGTTCACTACTGGCTAATTGTTAGCAATGATTAACCTCGTGTATTTTATTGCAGCGAATGCTTATGTACCTGGACAGCCATCGTATTCTTCTGGTTTGTGTTTGCTTAAAAAAGGGAGTTATATATATATATATATATATATATATATATATTCTTTTTTTTATTTCTAGCAGATCTGCTCTCAATTCTGCCAACAATAGGATTTCTTTTGAGCCCTGATATATATATCCGTGTTAATTTTGCATGCAGGTATGTCGGCTAAACCTACCTTTAAGCATATCCCCAAGGTTTGTCACTACTATCTTTAAGCACATAACACAAACAAGTACCAAGTAGATGTTAAAATCTAAATTGTGTCTACTCTACTAGAATGATATTCTTCTAGATGGAATTGATTGCTTAAAATATGTCAAAGAACTGTATCAAGGCTTTGTTTTGGTTAACAATGCTGAATATTCTTGCACTCCACACCTGTGTAAATTATTGTTATTACATTTCTTATCTGTTTTAACCTTCTAGTTTCAGTAAAAAAATTGTTTTAGATTATTCTCTACTTTTTATTCCAGAGGGGAATGCTGGTTTTTGATGCGGCTCAATTTGATGGCATCCTCAAAAAGATTTCAGAGTTCAACAGTACACTACTGGCTGACTTGGTAGATTCTGAAATTAATCATTCTTGTTTATATATTTGCATTTATGCTTATTTTTGTCTATGATCGTATTATGCTGCACCAATATTCCTCATCATGTTAAATTTTGAATCATCTTATACGTCACTTTGTTATGCTGATAGATCATTCTGATATATCGAATCTCGAATAGTGAATATATTTCTATTTATGGTTGCTTTGTGTGTCATAATGGTTTCCTTAATAGTCTTCATCCCTGGTTTTAGATTTATCCTTTGGTTTTTAAGGGACAAGTTTTGAATGGTTACCTAATATTCTGTATGCATTATTTTATTTATCTGGGACTTACCTTGTTTCCTTATGCTGCTGCCTGCTGTACCATTGCTATTCTGTTACATCATCGATGTTCTCTTATACTGAGTTTCCCATATAATGGATCAATTGACATTCTTGTGAAGGACAAAAAGGACTCGTCTCTGACAGAGCCAGAGATATCTAGACTGTGTGCTATTGTTAAAATTCTGGAGGACACATCACATTACCATTCTAGCACATTTTCTGATGTTGACATGGCCTTGTTGCTGAAATTGCTGAAATCATGGCCACTTCCAATGATATTTCCTGGTTAGTGGGGAGAAGCTTTAAAGTTTATAGTTTGTGTTCTCTTTGTTAGATTGTTTCTTCGGTATGGAGGTGTTATTTTAATTGAAGTGGAACTCTATGTGAAAATCTGATTTCATTGATTATCCTTTGTTTTACTTTTGGTCTTATAGAGCTCTATTCTTGTTTATGTCAGTTATAGTCTTCCTTAAATGTTTCAAATTCAATATTTCACCTTTCCACTGGCTTGCTTCTATTTCTGCAGTTATTGACATTCTAAGGATGATTGTCCTGCACCCTGATGGGGCGGCTGTACTTCTGAGGCATGTTGAAGTCAATGGTACCTAGCTTAAAAATTATCTACTACTTACTCTACCTTTCTTTTTGAAAAGTTATTGTTGCAACTGGAAATGTCCCTATAAACTTTTATTTTTTATCCAAATAACTATGTATGAATTTTTCCTAATTTTATTTGACAAAATTCCAATGAACAGGTTAGCTCCTCTTTTATTGATGAAACCTTTATGGACTGCCCTATAAACTAGATTGCCTGAGTTGGACCTCTAGTTTCTCTGGCATAAACATGTCCTTTAAAATCTATACATCAAATAGTAGATAATATTGTATGCAACTGTTCCTTCCTCTTTGTTATATTCTATTCTGAGTTCTAACTTCAAATTTATGTGCTGAACTAGATGTGATAATGGAAATGATTACGAAAGTCACAACTGAACCCGCAGTTCCAGCAAATCTTTTAACCAGTATCCGTGCTGTAACTAATTTTTTCAAGAACCCGAGCTACTATGGATGGCTGCAAAAGCATCGCAGTGATGTAAGTTTCATCTATTAAACTTAAAATGTTATTTTGCTAAATCAAGTTTTTTGACTTCGGCCTTTTGAGTACAAACTGGGATGTTGAGCTCCTTGGTCCTTGTGTCTCTTTCCACAACCTTGAAATGGACCTAGATTGATATTGCTGTGAAAACAATGTGCATGTGTGCATAACATTCTCTCTGTTTTTGTTTATGCAGTTGTGGTTTAGTTATTTAAGACACTATTAGTATATTCCTCTATTTTTTAATAAATGTTTCTCTTCTCTGTGACAAACTATTGTTGCTTCCCATTGCTTGTTTGATTGGCTCTGAAATTGGATGTTACCAAATCCTGCTCTTAATTTCATAATCGTGAAAGAAAAAAAAGGCTTGTTTCTCTGATCCACATAGGATCAATGCAATAATTTACCGACTCTAGGAGAACCTGCAGATTATGTTTCTGAGCCTTTTCTCCACAACTTATATTTTACATTTCAATCACACTTTGTTATTATTTAATCTTCTAGGATATTGATATTGCTTTTAGAGTGTTTATTTTATGCTATTCTTGCAGATTCTTGATGCATTTTCAAGTTGTCTTGCATCTCCAAACAAGAATTTACAGTTGGCTTATTCTACACTGATACTAAAGTAAGCATTCTGTTTATGTAAATAGATGAATACATTTGTGACAGTTCAGTGGTTTCCCCTTATTTTAGATATCGTTTGTCCTAAAAGGTCTGAGTTGATCTTAACTTTTGCAACGTTTTTACTTCTATGGCTTTTGAAGTTGAAGAGAGGTAGGTCGGGGGTGTTACTACTTTATTGCCGGGTTTTTTTTTCCTTGTTGACTTCGTCGCTTACATCTCCTTTATAAATTGCTTTTGTTGCTCCGCTGTTTTATACATGTTTTTAGTTTTCATTGATAATTGCAATGAATCACTTCCTCTGATGTAAGTAATCACGTGTGTGCTTCGCAGTTATGCAGTGCTGCTAATTGAAAAGAGGGATGAAGAAGGCCAATCCCATGTTCTTTCAGCGGCTTTAGAGGTTTACCTTATTCTATTATTCCCTAACTTTGGAATTGAATTCAATATTTCCAGAATCGATCTCCAATGTGATTTCTCTTCTCAAATAAATCAATCTTGTGCAATGGATTACAATGATAGTTTGTTTAGTGATGATCTTCAGCAACAGAAATCCTCAATTTTATTCATGGTTTTCTTTCTGGCACAGATTGCTGAACAGGAAAACCTAGAAGTAGATGCAAATTCCGAGCTTTAGTTGCCATTGGATCACTGGTATTGTCTTCTAACTCTAATTTCTTACCTTCATCATGGTTGTTATGGTCGACCCTGTTGTCATTTGGATTTGTGACCACATGCACTGCAGCATAACAAAGTTCCCCCCAAAATTATTCCTCTCGACTTTGCAGATTAACTTATTGTTGCTTCACTTGATTTACTTTTTGATTTTCCTCCAAATTCTTTTGGTTTTCCTGATAAAATTAAATCTTCCTGTGCACAGATGCACGAGGGTCTGGTGAAAAAGCTAGCAATGGACTTTGATGTTGTGAACATTGCCCGAGCAGCAAAGGCTTCTAAGGATGTCAAGATTGCAGAGGTCGGAGCTGACATCGAACTGTCAACAAAACAGAGTTGAATCGTGTGGTTCCTCGTGAGTATTTTACCAAAAGAGTATAAAGATTCTACCTTCAAAGCATGCAGAATTCGTATTAATGCTTTGCCTATGTTGTATTGTCTTGAGGCATTAGTCGGAAAGCTAAAAGCCTAGTACTAGCATAACGAAAAACCTTGTTCTATGGACTTGATGATGTATATGTAAAACTCTACATCGATTGGCGATTGTAGGATAAGCCAAGGGTGGAGAATTTGGACAGATCTTCTGTGTAGTGATCGGATTGGAGATTGTGGACGAAAAGCGGGTCGAGTAATTAATTTTAGCTGATCATATACAGGGGGCTCCATCTCATGAATCCTAGTGTTTGCCACAGATTTTCTTGTTTTACATTATTGCCATAGGGATGGTACACAGCTTGGGTTGATCTTTTTAGGTTTCACTTGTTCACACAAACAGGCAAAGCAAATGATGCAAAACGTTGCGTTTTCATTTGATTAATTATGCGTTGCTTATATATTTAAAATTTGCTTTGGGGCTTAACCAAAAATATGAAATCCACGGGTGAAAAAATCAAGGGTAAAAAAAATTACACCCGGGTACACAATTATTAGTTTGGTTATAAATAAGTTATTTTCCCCCTATAATTTATAATTTAATCATTTAATTAAAATATTATTTCAAACGTATCAATGATTATTTAATATTAGACGGAATTATTTTTGGCTTCATATAATATCAGTTTTAGTCCTAAAAATTATGCATTCTATCAATTTGATATAATTCAAATTAATTTAATTAATTTAATTCTTTTTTTTAATTTTTTTATCGATTTAGTTTTCTCTCAAAGATTCATTATTTTTATTACCTTCGTTATATAATAATAATTTAATGATAATTTATTTTATAATGAAATATAATTATCAAACTATTGTTTTGACTTAATAGACTCGTTTGATTTAATAGAAATAGAGATGTGTATATGATTGGAACCTGCTAGATTTGATTTGACTTGATAGTATTAAGTTTTTTTTTAAATGAATTCGAGTCAAATCAGATTCAATTTTTTTTTGTATGATAATCGAGTTTAAGGTGAAAAATATCATATCTAACTTAACTCGAAAATAATAATACATTTATTTTTATATATTTAGAGATAATTATTATAATCACTATTTTGTTCAATTAAGTATTTATTTTACACATAATAAAAACAAAACTATCATATATTAGTATTGCATGGGTTGAATACGATTTTTTACTCTGAAAATTGGATCAAAGAGGATTTTATTTAAACTCAGATCAATCGAGTGATAAGGGAAAAAATATTATATTCAGGTCTGATTTGGAGGACAAAAATCTAACTCAACCTTATTCATGACAATTCTTAAAATGAAAATTTATTTATTTTTTATACGAAAAGAATAGTAATTACAAGACTAAGAGTGGTTATGAGGCCTGTAAACGACCCGAACGCACACGAACGAGGTATGTTCATGTTCGTTCATTTAATAATAAAATCCAAAACAACTTCAATATATTCTTAACATATCAATTTGCATTCATGATTAGTCGTTAATTCATCATCCTCCTGATCAGAATCAAAACAAAAAATTATATTAAATTAAAGGAGTTATAACAAAAGATGAAAAGTATACTAAATTAGCGAGGTTATATCAATTCATTCATCTCATTTTCAAGGAAGCTCAACATGATGATATCTTCATTTGCTACAACAAATCAAAAAACCAAAAATATTAGTCATTGTAAACCAAATTCAATAAAACTTAAAACATAAAAATACATTGTTTTTATTTTCTCCAACCCATAGTATTGACGATACCAATCAGCTCCACAAACAAGCATATCTACCACTTAGTTCCTAAGAGGATATATGCGGATCAATAACCCTCCCAGCACTGAAAGCAGATTCAGAAGCAACAATAGTGACCGGAATTGCCAATATATCAACAACCATTTTGACAAAATGCTAAATTTAAGATTGTTCTCCTTCCCACCCAAGGCATCAAAATAACACAGACTCACCAATTAAAACTCCTATTCAGAAGCAACAGTAGTGACCGGAATTGCCAATATATCAACAACCATTTTGACAAATGCTAAATTTAAGATTGTCTCCTTCACATCCCAAGGCATCAAAATATACACCAGACTCACTAATTAAAACTCCTTCCCCAAAATAAGTGTCCAATTCTAACTTGACAAATGTAAAAGTATCGACACTTCTAATATGTTGGTCATATTAGATGTGTCAGCTTTAATACCTTTACCAAACCGACTGAATAAGGAGCTAACACTACTTTTAGAAGTATCAGTAGTGAAGCGAGCAGATAACAGGAATAGCAAGTCCCTTTTCGAATAGGGAGACAACGGACCTCACCAGAAACCGGTACAGTGCAAATATAAAAGATATAAAACATGGAACTAAAGCAAGAACTACATTCTGCCTTAATTGCGATTCATAGAGCAACCGATCCATTCAAGCAAACTCAACAAGATTGATAAAGCTCTTTGAAATTGAATGCATCTTATCTAACAAGGATAGTTAAAAATAAAGGAAAACAAATCCAAGCATAAGAGAGAGTAAAGATGTAACCTTGATTTAACAGACCAAAAAACGTTGAAACCCACAAAAAATCCCTAAATTCACACAAAAAATTAACATACTAAAAAAATTTCAAATTATTTACCTTATGAAATCACGTTCAAGATGCCAAGATGAAGGGAAAGAGATGAAGCTCTGTCAAATCGTTGCAGAAATGAAAATTGTGAAGAGTGGGTTGAGTGGAGAATCAAGAACGGTTGAGTGACGGGCTGGAGAAGAGTTGAGAAAATATTGCTTTTTAGATTTAGGGTTTTTTTGTATTATCGCTTAATTGCTTATAGGTAACGACGTAAAATTGGGTTAATTATGGAGGTGGTCATCAGAATATCATATTAATTAATATTTTTAAGATACATATAAAGTGGTTACCAAAATTGATTTAAGAATATTGGGTTAAACATAAATGAACGCACATAAACGAACATAACCGAACGAACATAAACGAATATAACTGAACGTTCACGAACGTAAATGAACTAACGAGACCTATGTTCATATTAGTTCATTTAATTAAACGAACACAAAATCTTGTTCATGTTCGTTCATTTAATAAATAAACGCATATAAACAAACTTCCCGCCGCACATGAACAGTTTCAGTTCATTTACCGGAGTTATCCAATTACTGAAACCAAGTTCAATTAGAGCATCTTCGTCACCAGATCCTCATTTTACTTCCATTTAGAGTAAAACCTTTCATCGCTCCACAGCAACATCCTATTCAACTTGATCCTCACACTCCTCTGTTTCAGATGCCAATGCCTTGGCTCAATCCTCTTGTGCAAACTGAACCCAAAATACTGTGGAAATTCCTTTAATTCCCCAAGTTCCCTCTCCATTTCTCCCACCAGAAACTCGTATTTCGGCCTCAAATTATCCTCCACGTTGTACCCGAAGATCGCCGGCATCCTCGCACAGAAACTCCCAGCCTCTTCGTACCTCAACCCTATGCTCCTCAAGAACCTGATCTTCTCCTTCAATTTCTCCACCCTCGTGTTCAAAAGAAACGCCTTCTGTTTACTCGGCTCGTTCAGTTTCTCTACTCCGAGCCCTTTCAAGTATTCGACCGTGGGCTTCAGGCAGTATTCCACGTCCGAGAACAAGATGTACGGGCAGTTCACGATCAAGCCACGGGAATCTTGTTCCGTGGCGTTTAAATCGGCGGTCAGGAAATCGAAAACCTGTTCGACTTGGGATTGGTCGAAGTCGGGGGAGAAGAGTTGGGGACAAAGGAAGGCGAGGCGGGGGAAGTCTCGGTCGTGGATGCCCTTGGATTTGAAGAAATTGACGGTGGAGATGAGGTGATTGGTTGTTTGAGGTGGAAGATAGGCGGGTTTTGTGTGGGATGGATGATGCCTAGGCTTGAGATAGCGGAGGTTTTGGTGGTGTGACGTGCGGAATTTGACGTAAAGTGACGGCGGCGGCGTTTTGGGTGGCGGGAGTGAGAGATGGAAGCATCATTGAGGCTTCGTTTTGGTTTTGCGCTGGATATTTTTGGAGTTCGGTGAGATAACGTTATGCACCATGGTTTTCAGGACTGGAACGAACCGGTTGTGCTATCGGTTCATTGGTTCAACCAGTTGAATCAGTTTGATTGGTCGGAAGAACCGGACGACGTTATAATTATTTAAAAAATTAAATAAAAATACCAAAAATATTTAATAAAAAATATTTTTTTTGTATCACAAGTCATATTCAAAGCAAACCATAACATATATAAGTTAAAAATCATAAAATCAAGTGTAACAAAATGATTCAAATTAACTACAACATAATATTTAAGGTAAAACATATTAAATAATAAATATAATTATATAACTATAATTAAAAAATAAATTTGGAGCTAAAAATTCATAACAAAATGATATTGTTTGGTTTAATTTTTTTTTTAAAAATAATCTCACATGGATAAGAAACATAGAAGATCATCCCAACTAACTTCTATAAATAATAGATGTAATTTGACATTCAAAATCATGGAGCCTTTTGGTAGCATTGAGTGAACTATTCTTTCACTTCAATCAAGCTCGAATTTTAGGCTTCAATCGAGCTTCAATCGAGTTTCTAATTTTTTTTGAGTTCAAGCTTACTTTTAAATTTTTCAAGTTCGAGTCGAGCTCAACAATACTCGAGTTCGACTTGGCTCGTTTAACAAACGACGTCGTTTGGTTTAATTTAAAAAAAAAACAAAATTGGCGGTTTTTCCGGTTTTTCTCGGTTTTTTCCGATTTTCAACCGGTCTGATTTGAACAGTTCAACGATTCTGACCGGTTCACTAATAACGGTTCAACCGGTCTAGATTGAAACAGACTAGATAACAATTCCCGATTAAATCGGTTAAACCAACCGATCTGATATGTTTTCAAAACAATGTTATGCACTTATGCTCTGTTTCTTTCATTTTTGTATGGAGGCTTTCTTTTACATATTTTTTAAGGGTTAACAACACCCATAATCATTCAATTATTAGCATGGTTGTGTTTTGTCACTCAATTTTAAAAAATAATGTTTTAGTCATCAGGTTAATTGGTTTTTGTCATTTCAATAACTATGCCGTTTATTTCTAATAAAATGATGACATAAATATATTTAATTAAACTCATTCATCTAAACTGTTCTGCAAAACTCTCTTTGCCATTGTTCAACTGATTTATTACATTCCTTGTAATGGTAAATAAATAGCCTCCGCAGGTCAAATGCTTTCGGAACTGATTCGATTTTGGGACAGTTCCTTATCGCCAGATGCACAAGGGACGGAAAGACGGAATTCATTGCTTCCACAATGGCTTTAAACTCGAGCATTCCCAAAGCTCTAAGGAGGTCAAACTGGTGAATGATAATCCTTCTTCAATTTGAAAAGATGCCAAGTTGTGGTATCGTAACCGTCTTTCGGTTGGGCCTCGGAGTTGGGCTTTGACTTGAAAAATGTAGATTGGAGTCGTCACCGATCATTTATTTTACGAAAAGTGGGTTGATCGGATACCTTATTTCTTATCTGATCTGCGTCTTACCAGAGATATGTCGGATTCGGGAGTCGGTTACAGTCAAGGAAGGATTAGCACCCTTGAACCGCCCTTTCGGTACCAATTAATTTGTTGGTTGTATTTATTTGCGAAAATTGAAAATTTAAATTAAAATTAAAATTATCCGATTCAAATTACTTACCCTTGATTGTTTGAAAAAATATCCCTAAGTCGAAAATATATTAGATTGTAAAATAAAAATAAATATAAAAAGAGAAAAATATATAAATAATAATAATAAAATAAAATAGATACCAAAGAAAATAAAAGTTAGTAAAAGAGTAAAATAATAAAATAAAATAAAATAAAAGGACCAAAATGGATGATATTGAAAGATGGCATGGCTAATTCATGGATTAATCCTTAGAAAACCCAAAACAGGGTGATGGGTATGCAAATTCCAATTCTGCTTTTTCTTAGTATGGGTTTGGTACGAATATTCAAGTAAAATCCTTCCATTGGAACAAAAACAGTATAAGCATCATTTAGAGGTAATATTGAACTAAACCATAAATATTTAAAATAAATACAGTTATAAAACCAATCAAGGAACTTGCATCGGACGCTTATTTTCATTGCTCAGTGTTGGGCTAAACTGGGTCAACACAAAAGAAGACCAACTATTCTTATGTTTTTTTCAAAAACCCCTATATTAACTCGTGGGTCCCACATAAAATGCAATTTAAAGGGTTTTTACCCAGAAACATTATTTTATGTTGTAGCCACATTTCGAACTTCAACACGAGAAAGAAGAGAGAAAATCTTGGTCATTTTACCTTGAGTATGTGAGTTTGAACCGTTGGATCGAGCTATGGACGGAGTATGTCGTTCCTCGTGTTGGGCGTGCTTCGAATCTTCGGATTTTCAAGAATAGTTTCGATCATTGTGAATCCAAACGGTAAGTTTTCGGGTTACCCTTTGTTTCTTCTTCGCCTCTTCGCTTTCCTGTGTATTTTCGTATGTATTTTTTTGCCTTACTTCAAATCCCACGTCGTATATCCCGTATGTAACCTCTCTGCTCGTATGATTTCTCTACCGTTTTTCTCAGTGATTTTCTAATCGAATTTTTGCAGTAAAAAAAAGGGATTTCGATTGCTCTGAATATTTTTGGGATTTTGCTCGTATATTTCTTGTATTTCCACTGCAAAATCGTGTACAACCCTCTCCCCTACAATGAGTTTGATTACACTTATTTATACTGAAAAATAAACCTATTTTTAGATTACATTTGACTCCTAATATGACTCTAACATTTGTTAGTTGTGGTTGAGCCTTGCGAGATCCTTGCGCCGTGAAGTGCGGCTGAGGAAGGCGTGATGAACCAGGGGACTTCGGGGCTTCTGGATGAGATGGGGCATGCAAGAAGCGGCGGTGTGCTTGGGCCCATAAACGTAAATGCCATGTGCATTATAAATTATAACATTATGACATTATATTATAATTTATATGGTGGAAATTGAGTGTCTTCATGTGGCATGAACGGAAAGAACAGAGACATGCTCGACGTTGTGGCATAGGAAACGGTGGTAACGGGAAAGATGATCCTAGTGGATGACAATTCCCATCACTTATCGACAAGGATTCAAGGGCTGTGTACAGGAAGATTTTGGAATAATCCAAGGCTTTGCACCCTGTGATGTCCACTTCCTTTAGCGTGATAGCCACATTATATATATATAGTTAGAATCCACTTATATAGTGTAGAACTCTTTTAGTTTTATACAAATTTAGGACCGTTAAATATGCAAAAATAGATGTCGAGATTAACTCGGTTTTTCCCAATGAATATCTTCTCATTTCCTATCATTATTCTCAGCCATTTATTTTCATTCATTTAACCGTATTAAGTCTATGTTAAACAGAATTAATTTTATATTGTGTAATAAGATAAAAATCTTAATAAATTAAACTGAAATTAATAGGATAAGAATCTTAACAAATTAATTATTTGATTGTGATTTGTGACCTTATATGATCGATTCTAGTTGTCAAGAATCTTAACAGTGATAGGATTTGAATTTGGTCTTACAAGCTCAAATTTTTGAATCCCACCCACCCGTGACAACACTCATTGGTAAAAAGACCTCATTCAAAAGAGGCAAACACCCGATTCACAATACATAATTTTTTTGCGTAAGTGAAATTTGGATAAACTACACGTTTAGTATATAACATTACGTTTTGGTTTCATTTTGATCACCTGTTGTTAATATTTTTCAATGATGATGTGACATTATCTTATGGTGACACGTCAACATCACCGTTAATTTTTTAGCTGTGAATGACCAAAATGAAATCAAAACGTAACTTTAGGTGTGATTTTGAAAAAAATAATTAGGTGATCGAAACGAAATAAAAGTAATAGTTGGGGCTATTGAACGTGTAGTTTACCCTTAATATTTTTGTCAGCAACTACCAAATCAATATGCCAATTTTTGTCAGCAACTACCAAACCAATATGCCAAATTCCAATTAAAATTCACAATCTCAATGAATTATATATAAATGGTGTCATGCAAGTATCGATCCAAGCATCATTTGTTGATAGAAAGATGAGCTTAGAAACTGAAGCTAGACTTCCAGTTATAGATTTCTCAAGCCAAGAGTTGAAGCCCGGCAGCCCTGAATGGGACTCGGTGAAAGCACAAGTCCGAGAAGCTCTCGAGGAGCACGGGTATTTCGAGGCTTCGTTCGACCGAGTCGCGGAGCTTCGAACACCCGTGTTCGGAGCCTTAGAAGAGCTCTTTGACCTGCCTCTGCAAAGAAAAAAGCTGTGTGTTCTGAGAAGCCATTTCGTGGCTATTATGGGCCTACAGCACGACTGCATGAGAGCATGGCGGTTGATGAACATATGGCCGGAAACATTGAACAATTTCACGAACGTGTTGTGGCCTCAAGGACACGTAAGCCTCAGGTTCGGACTAATAACTATTGCGGTTATTACTATAAGTTTATCTCTTTTCATCAAAAATACGATAGATCGAAATATCGAAGTATGATTGTATTTTTAAAACTTTTAAATTATATATAATTTATGTCATACGTACATCTTACACCAAAACTAAAGTTTTTTCCCATCTCGGATCGAGTGTTAAACTTTACCTTTTGACAACAAAATTATATATTATCAAAAGAATTTTGATTTTTTAAGAGAAACTTTTGAAAAATATCGTTCTCATGCCAAAAAATTTTCTTTGATTTATCCTTAAAAAGTCTTTAAATCAAAGGCGGACGGTAATTAGGTCAGAACGCCCCTAGTCGCCAAAATTTTAGAAAATGAACATTTGATCCCTTAATTTAAAAAATAATACTTTGTCCTTTGAAATTCTCAAAGCTATGGAATTATTTTACCAAGATTTGCTTTGAAGTATTGTTCGTTGGAAAGTCAGTTGAAATCCCAACAAATCGGTTATCCTTATGTGGATGTTAGTCTGCATATTCTATTAAAAATCATTAGAGGGTTCATAAAGTCGAGAGCGCCTTGGTTGGTGGAGATACAACCTGTAAGACTCACAGACCATTGGTGGTCGACGGATTACTCGATGAACGATACTTCGAAGATTTCTTTCAAAAGAGTTGAAAATTCCATCAACATATACGAAATTTCCCCTATTAAAATAGTAGTTTTATAATAATTTAGTTTTGGTTGTTGCAGTAAAACTCTTGTATCTTTCACACAACTAGCATGTGGATTAGAGAAGACAATTAAGAGGATGATACTGGAGAGTTTTGGGGTTGAGAAACACATATGAGCTCATTGGCTCCACCAATTATCAGCTAAGGCTCTTGAAATATGGAAGACCACAAACAACAGCGAGTCAGCTGCCCTTGGGGTGCATGCACACTATGACCAATTGATGACTCTTCTGTATCAAATGAGGTTGATGGGTTAGAGATTCAAAACAAAGATGAAGGATCAATGTTAAACTCTCACCAATTCTTTTATGGTCATCATTGGACAGTCCTTCAACGTAAGTCTTCTTCTGTTTCTAGTCACTCCAATATTAAATCAAATACAACATGATTATTTTTTATTAATCATTCATTTTTATATGTATACACACACTCAATAATATTTCTGAATTCATCATTGGGTGCAGATATGGCTAAATGGTCGATTGTGTCCGCCTTGTCATCGTTTGTGATGAAGGGAAACAGGGTAGATACAGCATCGGTGTTTGCATTACCGAGAGGAGGCTACCACGTACAGGCACCAGAAGAACTTGGGACGACGATTCTGGCTTTCTGTTCAAACCCTTTGACTACGAAGAGTTTCAAGAATTTCTCTGGAACCAAATGGCTCGAGGAGTTTTTAAAACTGATCTTAATGCATATTGCAGTGTCTAAGATTTGTTTGTTCACTGTGATTGACGTTGTTTTCTCTGTGTTGAATTTATCTTGGGTAAATGTCAAAAAAGTCACAATGTTTATTAAAATGATTATTTTGGTCACTATTTTTTGTGGAGCATTTAGCCCTCAACATTTCGTTTTAAGGCAAAAAAGCTCATCTATAGATTAAAAACCGTTAGTTACAAATGGTTAATACTCTAAAATAGAGGCTTTTTTTACCTAAAATGAAACGTGAAGGGCTACAATGTTTTAGAAAAAAAATAAAGGCCAAAATGATTATTCGATGAAATGTGAGGGATATTCTACCATAATGAAGGGACTGCCTTGATCGAATAAGTTATTTTAAGTTGCCATTATTCGACCAAGCAAGACACAAACCAGTATGAATTGCCCATTATTCGGCTTGTAAGACATTGGTCAGTTACCATAGTAGTCACGGATAAGACCACCGGTAGAGCTATTACCGATGTAGTGGATACAAAAACCTCCATGCACGAGAGGTTGCCTCGAATAAGACAGGTTGGACGATTGTTGAGAGGCTGGAAGCATCCCTTCAGCGTAACGATTTCCCCAAACGAAAATACATCAAATAAACGAGGATCCGAAGAAGAAAAATTATTAAAACACCATTATTATGATTCTTTCACAATTGCCATAGAGGAAAAACATTTAGACTTTGTTAATAAAGAGACGAAAAATGATTTTTTTTTTTTAAAAAAAATTGAGGGTGAAATTTGAAAAGATGGAAAACAGATTGTTCCCATTAAGGACTAAAATAGAAAAACTATACTTCAGGAACTAATTAACCATTAAGCCTTTTCTTAAAGACGCTATGAGTTTTATTTAGGGTTTAATGACCATGAATCCAACTACCTAAAGGTGAAAGGAAGTAAAAAAGAGGGAAGAATTAGTATCGGAAAAGGAAAGAAGATGGATACGGCTCAGAATCCTGGTTCAGACCGTTAAAAAAGCCGACCCTCCTAAATCCGCTTCGTCCTATCTTGACCCTAACTACTGGTAACCTTTTTCATTGTTCGGATCATAAAAACTGTGTTTTCGTGTGTTTTGTTTTGTTATTGTTTGTTGTATTCAGGAACCAGCGTTCTCTAAGAAGAACACTACGAGTGGCTCAAAGATTATTCTCATTTTCGCCATCATTCAAGGCCATATCAGCCCAATTCCTCAGTGCATTCTCTCTCTGACTCATTGTCTTGAATACAATTTTCGTCATATTTTTTGGTGCTATTATGAGGGAAATTGTAGTCATCCAGCTAAAATACATACTTCAAGGCTTAAGAGCAATGAGTAGTCGCTTGTTTGAGTTTCTAGGCTGTATTTGGGAACCGGATTAAGTTCTGATATCTTTAGCTTAGCATTGGATCAACAGAGCTGTTAAGCTTGTTGGTATTTGAATTGGGATTAGAATTTTTATTTTTGTTTTTTTATAATGATTACAAGTGTTAAATAGGAAGCTTTGCATTGGTGATTTGCTTAACTTGTAATTACGGATTGTGGTCACATTTTCGATTGATTCTTGTAAGAAGGGGATTTGATTTACTTTAACATGATATGATGAAAAAATTACATGATGAAGGTGCTGGAACTGGGGTGTGGGAACTCACAGTTGCTGAAGAGCTCTACAAGGATGGTATCACCGACATAACGTGCACTGATTTGTCATCTGTTGCAGTGGAGAGGATGAAGGAAAGACTGCTGTCTAAGGGATATGAAGGTGTGTTTCCCGCATACTTTCTTAAGTTTCTATTGCTTTTTATTTTTTGTTTTGTCTATTTGGCCTATTAGAATTTGAAGCTTGATTCGAGTCTGATGAATTTGCATATGAATGTTGTCTAACTTTGTGATACATTCTTACTGTCTTTTCGTAAGATTTTTATTTTTACATATATGTGGCATGCCATTGAACTAAGTATCGCACGACATTGTGAAGAAAACTTGTGACATATATGTTTACGTGATATCTTCCATCACTTGCCAGTTCATCTGAGAGATTGTTTTCTAGATAATTAAATAATAATTGTAGTTTTTCATCTGGAAAACTGGAGTATTAATCTTCACTTGTTTGGCCATGTGAAACCAAAATTATATATGGGTTAGACTTTAACCTGAAACCAATCTAAATACTGTATCAAGTACCAACTATCATTGGCAAATTCATGGTCAAATGTCCAAAAGATATCCTTTTCACTTATCTGCTATGGAAAATGTAATAATTATTTTTCTTATCCTACTATGATGGAAACAAAATCCTTTTCACCCAAACCAGTTATTTGAACTAGTTTCATTCATCAGTTTTTGCTTTCTTGTCACCTCTTTTATCAGAAATAAAGTCCTGGAAGCAGACATGCTAGACCTCCCTTTAACAACGAGTCTTTCGATGTGGTAATTGAGAAAGGAACCATGGTAAACTGATGAAATCCAAGATGAATTCTCTTTTACATATACTGAAGTTTCAATTTGATTTTCTTAATCATATAATTAAATTCTTCTCTGACAAGTTATGTTTAAATGCTTTTATTTGAAGGTGTTCATAAAGTTTTGAAACCCGACGGCATTTTCATATCTATTACTTTCGGCCAGGTACAAGAAGAAAAAAAATGCAAATTTGTCCTTTCTAAATAGTAAGCTTATTGTTCTTAACTTGGAATTTTCATTCATGTAGCCACATTTCAGGAGACCTTTCTTTCATAATGCCAAATTTTCATGGTCTGTCGAGTGGCATACTTTTGGTGATGGATTTCACTATTTTCTTTATATTGAGGAAGGTTAGTCGCTCTTCATGGCTATCACATGGAATTTTCAATATGCAAATTATATGCTAATGGGATTAACAAGTTCTGCTATAATCTAAAATGTTTCAAAGCTTTCATCTGTGACTTTCTGGTGTAAAATTAACACCTTTCAGCTTTAACAGGGAAGAAGGACATTAGATGGTGGAGAGTCCATCAAAAAGATCGAGATGCCACCAATTTCTCTATATCATGAAGAATTAGAGGGTGAAGATTATATTTTTCGAACCAATGTCGACGAGTTAGATAGTTAGCTAGCAGAACCATTACTCTTCTCCTTTCAATATCCCTGCTGTAACCTTGCTGATGAGGTTGAAAGAAGGCAAAAACATAATCTTGAATACCGTATATCTGTGCAACGTTTACATTAGTGGAATGGGATTTATTATCTTGAACTGTTGCCAGTGATTTTGAGTCCAGCTAGCCGTGTAGCCTTCCGATTGTAAACTTGATCGGTTTGAACCTTGTCCCAAGTGATGTTGCTATTGTAACGAAAATGAGTTACAGCTAAATGTTGTTGCCTCTGCAATTTTTGAGCAAATGACTGTGTACGTGTTTCTGTTGTAACGCAGGCTGCATCCAATTGTGCTTGTATAGCTCAGTCAGATCCCGGGTTTCGGTTTTCCAGAAAACCTTGGCATAGCTTTCAAGGCTGCTGTACCAGGCTGCTAGCCCCCCAAGTAAACATCATGTTGTGTTCAGCTGAGCTACACAGGTGCTTATGTGTTGATATTTATTATTCCGGTAAGGGACACTAGGGCACATTTGCCCTATGTGACACTGTTAACGATCCAAATGAAGAAAAAGTAATAAAAAAATTTACATGAATTGTCCAAAAAAAACGTTAAGTTACATGTTAAAATTATGTATTAACACAAATACGTGTTAAGAAAAATAATCTGGTCAAGCAAAGGTAGCAACTATCATGGACATTAATTCAATCATTCAATGAACGTATCTTTATATATATATATTTAAACATTTAAAAAAAATGCTTTTTTGCATTACCAAATCTAGCATTGATAAAATATTTGTTTTTTAAGTTTAAATATTGCGATTAAAGATAAAGTTCATATGCATTTGTTAGCATCAAACTTACTTCGTACTTGTGTTGTTAATTTATATCGGATATGTTCCTTATTTTTAAACAAAGTTCGGATAATTTTGTCATTTTGATCCTTGCTGATTACTAATTCGTCTGCGTTTTACTCTACACTTCGTCACCCATGACTTTCAACGTATTTATAAGTTTTCTAGCGATTTGCTTTCAAATACGCACAAAAGTACAGAAATATCAACACAAACACCAGATTAAAACAAAAAACAGAGCATAAAATATAATAACCATATAACTTTTTTTAACGAACGAAGCTTCAAAGACTCAAACTTACATAAACAGGGAAACAAAACATAATAAGAGAGACAAGCCCACAATAACAAATTAGTACTCATCTTCACCCTCATCACCCTCGGCTGATTCAGCACCAACCTCTTCATAATCCTTCTCCAACGCAGCAAGGTCCTCACGAGCCTCGAGAATTCACCTTCTTCCCCTCGTACCAGTGAACAAATGCACGCTTGGCATACATAAGATCAAACTTGTGGTCAATGCGAGAGAAGACTTCAGCAACACTGGTGGAGTTGGAAATCATGCAAACAGCCCTCTGGACCTTAGCGAGGTCACCTCCAGGAACAACGGTGGGTGGGTGGTAGTTGATACCACACTTGAAGCCAGTTGGCCACCAATCCACAAATTGAATGGTGCGCTTGGTCTTGATGGTAGCAACAGCAGCATTGACATCCTTGGGAACAACATCACCACGGTACATTAAACAGCAAGCCATGTATTTCCCATGGCAAGGATCACACTAGGCCATCATAGATGTGGGTTCAAAGGCACCGTTGGTGATTTCAGCGACCGAGAGCTGCTCGTGATAAGCCTTCTCGGCAGAGATTACTGGTGCATACGAGGAAAACATGAAGTGAATCCTTGGGTAGGGAACCAAGGTCTGGAATTCAGTCACATCAACGTTAAGGCACCGTCAAACCTCAGTGAGGCAGTCAAGGAAGAAATGACCCGAGAGATCAGGCGGTTAAGGTGGTATGTGGGCCTCTCAATGTCGAGAGCGCCTGCAAATGTCGTAGATAGCTTCATTGTCAAGGAGAATAGACACATCAGTGTGCTCCAAAAGGGAGTGAGTTGAGAGAACACTGTTGTAGGGCTCAACAACTGAAGTGGAGACCTGGGGAGATGGGTAAACAGTAAAACCCAACTTCGATTTCTTGCCATAAAACAGACAATCGCTCCAAAAGGAGAACCAAAACCGGATCCAGTGCCACTGCCAACGGCGTTGAAAACAAGGAACCCTTGAAGACCGGTACAGTTATCAGCAAGCTTCCTGATTTGGTCCAAGCACAGGTCAACAATCTCCTTGCCAACTGAAACAAATAAGCAAATTATTAGTCCCAATAAAACAAACAAAACATGGTAATAAGGACTTACTGGTGTAATGACCACGGGCAAAATTGTTGGCAGCATCTTCCTTGCCACTGATGAGTTGTTCAGGATGGAAGAGCTGGCGATAAGCACCAGTCCTCACTTCATCAATAACAGTGGGCTCAAGATCCACAAATACAGCTCGAGGAACGTGCTTTCCGGCACCAGTTTCAGTGAAAAAGTGTTGAAAGCATCATCACCTCCTCCGACAGTCTTTTCACTTGGCATCTAACCATCAGGCTGTTAACAGAAACAGAATTGTTCGTTAAGAAACCTCGTATTTCAAAACAAAACAGCAATAGATGGATGACATTCTCGCACGAACAAAGAAACCACACATGTGGAAAGCAAGCAACCAAGAAATAAACCATACATCGGAATGTCCCATATATAATATTGAATATTGCATTTTGCATACATGTGTTGGTATCTCAAAACAGCAAAAAATTATAGTATCTCAATTGTTGAAAAGAGAAAATACAACGATTCTAATCAATTATTGACGGTAGTGTTCGAGACTAGGAAAAATAAACTTTCCTGCCATTTTAGACCTTCAAAAAAACCTTATTTTATATCTTATATGTTCCCTTCACATAACTCCGACTAACAGTTATGGTTTTTCCTCGCTTAGACTCAACAAATACTTCTTTTGACGATGTTAAACTAATATCTTTAATGCAATAATAATTACATGTTGATATAGAGATAAACTAATCAGTATCTGATTATAGCAGAAGGTGTTTTCCCCGATGGCAGCAAAAGTAAATCAAGGTGATTTTGTATTAAGTAAAAAAAAAAATCAGTTCTTTGAATATCATTCTTCCCCTCCTGCAACTAACCAAGTAATTCCCTTTTCATCCGTGCATACATTTGGAGAAGAAATCATGAACAATACCAATCCCCCAAAACAAGTATTTTAACCAAAGCCCAAAATGAACAGCTTGCGCTTCGGCGCCTCGAAGAACAGCGCACCCAGCAGAAGCTCCGCCTCAAAGAGCTCTACCGTTCCAACAACACCATCACCTCCAATAATGCCTCTGATTCCCTTCTTCTAAACCCTGATCCGACTCCTACGACCGTCGTAATCGTGAGAGGCAACGAGAGAGATATCGCGTGTCCGAGCAAGCGGGAGGAGAAAGCCAACGCTCGAGAGCGGCGCAGTTGGGAAAGCTAGCCGAGAGAGAAAAAGAAAATGAATTGGATGAGATTAAGGAGCAGTACCTCTTCTTAGGCCAATGCTTGTCGACCCTCATATCAAATGTATCATAAAGTATTAATAGTAGCTTCTTTTAACCTCTACACTGCCTCATCTTGTTTCTCTTCAACGCCTTTTCTTTCTTAATCTCTTCCTTCATCTCCTCATTCTTAGCTACTTCTTCTGTTCCATCCAATCCATTCCAGCCCTAAACCACGCCCAAACAAAAGTTGTGCCTTGTAAGGGTTTTGGTACAAGGAATTCATGTCTCTCGAAGTATTTTTCGTACGAAAGAAAACCTAAATTTCTCGTTGGATTTAATAACCCTCTTATTAGGCTTCTTAGAATGATATATATGGGTTTTGAGCCCCAAGTCGTGGATGTATTGGATGCTATGCCATATAGGTTTAATAATCCTCTTCTTAGGCTTCTTAGGTTTATGGTGGAAGAAAGACTAGGTTTAATAATCATCTTTTTAGGTTTCTTAAGTTGAAGAAGAAGAAGAAAACACATTTTTTATTTTAATTGTTAGAAACACTTATGTTGAGGAACCAACCAGAGTTAACGGCGAGAATTTAAACTGAACATATTGATAATGTAATGGACCAAAAATACTTAATTTTCGTATAGTTCACCCAACCAATTAATATAATAGCTTAATTGGTATAATTTAATTAATAGAAGAGCATATTTGGTATTAATTTATGAATTTTATGTGTGATTAATTGAAGATTAAAACGAGTGGGATTAAATTTCAGAATTTAAAATGAAGGGATTAAATTTCAAAAGTCCAAAGATTATAGGGATTGGTAGTGGAATTAGACCTACTAAAAATCGTTATGATAAAACAAAAAACCAGTCGGGTAAGAGTGAATTTGCTAAATATTACAAAATTGCATGTCCCTGAGATAAAAGCACAAAAGAAATTTGGCTTTTTTCAAAATGGTTTATTCAACATTGCATTTGATTTGAGCCTTGTCCCCTCTTTTCACGTTATCTCTCTAATTTCTTTATAATCCCTAATAAAAAATCCCCAAAATTTTCAACTTTCCCTGAGAAAATCTGAAGAAAGATGGAGACCAGCTTAAACGACACCGAATCACTACTTGCTCGCATCAAACAATTAGAACATGGTACACTTTTATTTCTTCTTTATTTTTCGCTGTGAATTTCACCCTAGTTTTTTTAATAAAAAAATAATGATTTTGATTTTGTAGAGCGTGATGAATTGCGTAAAGATATAGAACAATTGTGTATGCAACAAGCTGGACCAAGTATCTTGGTGTGGCCACTCGAATGCATTTCCAGAGGTATAAAATTTTAATTTCCATCATACGGTTGATGGATTCGTTGTTTTCTTTCTTCTTTTTTTTCCTTCTTTTTTGAGTTTGTTTATTGAGAAATTAATGCCCTATTAGGACAGCTGGATTAGAGCAGGAGATTGAGAATTTGAGAAAGGAATTAGCTGCTTGTACCCGGCATAACCAAAATCTTCAAGAGGAGCTTTGTGAATCTTATCGAATTAAAGTATGTTTATTTTTAGTTTTCAGTTATTATTTTCTTAACCTCTTGTACGAGTTTATGTGAATGCTTTGTTGTTTGCAGACTCAGTTGGCCGACCTACATCGTGAGGAGGCTGCTAAGGTAACATTCTTAACAAACGGAAATGAAATAATTTCGTGTTTGTTTTAGTGAATGAATGAGATTCCTGTTTGGCTTTTTTATTTTTTTCTAGCTAATTTGTTTTGGTTTTTTCTCCAGAATGTGGAAGCTGAGAAGCAGGTTAAGTTTTTCCAAGGTTGTGTGGCAGCTGCTTTTGCTGAACGGGATCATGCGATCTTGAAGGTTCTTCCCATAATTAGTTTAATCTTAATTTATTTATGATTGCCCTCTAGTTATTGTGCACTGTATTTTAATTCTATTCTAAGTTTTGAAGTTCCACATGGCTGGTAACAGGCTGAAAAGGCTAAGGAGAAGGAAGAGCTCATGGCTCAGAAATATAATGAGTTTCAGACAAGGTAATCTTTATATCTTTTCACGTTTGGGTTTGGGGAGGATTTGCTATCACTATTGTCAGTTTCATGGATGGGATGGCCCTTTGGAAGAAAAAAAATTGAGTGCTAAGAACACATATGAAATCTAAAATTAGTTTTATATATAATTTTTATTAGATATGATCCAAATTGATTTTCTTTTATTTGGATAATAATCATTAAAAAATTGTAATACAGGTTGGAAGAGCTTACGTCAAATTGTCTTGAACAGAGCAGATGTAATGATGCACTGCAAATTGATCTTGCAAAACAAAAAGAGGAAATGGAACTTTAAGTAAGGTAAAAAGTCAGAAATATTATGTTCTCATCTTGAGCTGATTTCTTAAATAAGAGGTGCAGTGTCTTGAATTAATATGATGTACTTGTTATGTAGTGATCGTAGTTTTGCTACAAATATGGGTTGATAACCTACTTTACAACCTGTCTTCAAGCTTTACGAAATATGTTATTTAGGTTAATTAGATATATTAAAAATATTTATTTGATTCTTGTGAATTATACATTTGTTTCGAACTAAAATAATTGCTTAGATTTTCTCTTTATGGATTTAAAATTATTTTAATTTTTTTTCTAGCAAGGCCTATCCTAGCAACCCCCTGCCCATCCCCACCCCACCCCCCCCCAAAAAAAAAAAAAGAAAAAGAAAAAGGAGACACGAATAAGAGGACTATAATCCTAATAACTAATAAGAAGCAATGCCTCCCGCCTTTTAATTTTTGGCTTAGGGTCACAGTCTGCTTCACATTTGCCCTGGTAGTTGGTGCCACTAGACTTATTTCTTTTCTAGTTAATCTATTTACATTTTAGCCGCTCTCTTCAAATGAAAAATGAATTTCTTTATTTCAGGGTTCTCATCTACCTTTTCTTTTTGTTCCTTTATCTTCTTGGCTTTACAAGGGCATATGCAATTTCTTACCTTTTCTATATCTGGGACAGGTTATCGACAAGTTACGAGATCAGGCAAGAAACTCTTGGGGAATTAGAGGATGCTAGTTTAGATGAGAAATGTGCATGTCTCTTGAATGATCCTGCCGAAGGTGGAGTTTCAATGATTCTTCCACTGCTAATACATTGTGAGTTCAATTAAATTCTAAATTTTCCTCTATCTGGTTTTGCAGCGACCTTATTGTAATTTAACTTAGAATTATAGAATTTGTCTCTTCTTAGTTTTTCCCTTTATTTAATATTTAGTATTTTATTGTTACTTTGGACTATTACTGCTATGGACAAAGGTGCCTATATGTCTATGATTTATCTACTCCAAAATGAATAAAATATACGGTATATTGGTTTTTTTTTTTCATGTTTATGTTTGTAAAATATATCAATTGATTCAACAACCAATGCCCATGTTCTACGCGTGTTTTACTTCATATCATGTTAATTAAACTTGTGCTTAGCTGGCAAGACTAATACGGTGACTGGCATCAGTTTTTTTTCTTCTTCCAGATTCAGCTTATAGAAATTCAAATTTCTTTAGATTGAATTTTGTTTCAACATGGAACTTGAATAACTTTTCCTCAGACAGAGTTCATTGGAAGCAGAACTGGAAAGAGTAAGGAGATCTGTTGATGATCTTCGAAACAAATTGCGAATGGTATGTATATGTTTGAGATTCCTATGCTTGGTTTTCATGTTTCGTATTGATAGAAATTGATTGTTGGTATATAGGGTTGGAGATTGAAAATCATTTAAAGAAGAAAGTTTGTGAATTGGAAAGAAAGAAAGAGAGTACTTAGTTTTAAATTTTTTCCCTTTTTAATTTCATTTCTATGGTTGTCCTTTTGTTTCTTTTCTATGATTAAGTCCTTGACTTTATGAATTATGTGCAGATCACTTCAGGCAAAATGATTTTGAACAGGGTCACAGAATTACGCATTTATCATTCTGAGCACAAAATTCAAATTATGAATTTACTTGATATGGAAAGATCACATATCAAAAGATTTGTTGACGCAGTTGAAGAAAAAATTAGGCAATTTGATCCAAGAGGGCAAAATGTGCATAGTGTTCTCAAACCAGATGAAGACGAGCTTGTAGATGTACTACAAGTACTGATGCTGAAGAGAAAAAAGGCAATTTGATCCAAGAGGGCAACATGTGCAGTGTGTTCTCAAAACGGATGAAGATGGGTGTGTAGCTGTACATATAAGTACTGATGCTGAAGCCAAGTTGGAGTCTAAGGTTTGTTTCTTAGTGGTTAACTGTTTGTTGGGTTTCTCTCTTTTTTGCATTTATGTAAAAAATATAGTGCTATCTTTGTCGCAAGAGACTGATTTGAATGATAAAAGGTTTTTTATTAAATAAAAGAAACGTCCTGGTTGCTTAAATCCTCCTTTCCAAGCGATGAGTTATAAAAGCTAAATAGAATGACATTTTTTGGGCATTTTTGTTTGGTTTTATGTTTTTCTTTGATGTTTTTTTTTAGTCTTTTGATGCTAAAGCATGTGATTTTGGAAGTTCTGATTTTTCAGGTAGCAACTGCAGTCTGAGCACTGAAAATGACTTTTCTCACTAAAGTTTCTCAATTATGTTCAAATCCATCTTTAACTCTGACAACTTTAGTGAGAAAATCATTCCTATTGAGTATTTTCTGTAAGGATGCATCTAGATGTCAGGAAGCCGGCTGTGGTTATTATTTTACGGTCATTGTACCATGTATTTTAAGTTGTAATTTCTATTTACATCCATATTTTGTAGGGGGAGGATTTAATACTGCTGAGACTAAGGGTGATGCCTCAGTAGCCTTTCACAAGCATTGCAAGAAAAGGTTTCAGATGTTTATTCTGTCTATGGTTTGGTTTCTGGTAAATTAATATTTCTATTTATCCATCATTTTGTAGAGGGATTTGCTCGATTCAAATACTGCTGAGACTACACTTAATGCCTCAGAAGCCCTTGCAAGGCATTGGAAGAAAAGGTTTTAGACGTTTCTTTTGTCTGTGGTCTGGTTTTCTGGTAATTTATACATATCTATTTATATCCATATTTTTGTAGAGGGTCATGCTGGATTTAAATACTGCCGAGACTAAAGGTGATGCCTCAGAAGCCTTGCACAGGCATTACAAGAAAAGGTTTTAGACGTTTCTTATCCATAATCTGGTTTCTGGAAGTTCATACCTTGTTTTCTCATCCTTGAAATCTTCTGTCAGTGGCTGCACTGTTGCTTTATCACAGCAGGAAGAAAGACATTTACTTGAGAAAAATGTTAATGCAGCTCTTCAGAAAAAGATAGATGACTTCATAGAAATTTGCTTCAAGTAACTTTCTCAATTTAACTTTCTATGGAAATGCATTTTATTTTCCATAGTTTTTTTTTGTTGCAGCACTTAATTTGAAACAATGATTTATGAGATCTACTTGGTTCAGTCAATAGACCTTGTAGAGAAACAAAAAATTGATTAGTTTCAAGAGAAACTGTCTGTTGAAGACTTGAAGGACTTTGTTGCTATTCCTTGTTGCATGGAGCATCATGCATCCTCATTTACTCGTCAGCATTTATATGTAGTTTCTGAGTAAAAGAATGATGTAGATAAGGAATGGATTTTTCATGTATCATTGTTCGAATTCAAGAATATGGTGGAATTCCTCTGTACATCCTTGTTTAATCATATGCCTGAAGATCTTAACTTTGACCTTTTTCTTTGTCTTGTTTTTTCAGTTTCTTAAATTTTGCGTGTCAGTGTTTTGAGCAATATTTCTCACTTATAGTGACTGAATTGTGTATACAACTAACTCGAATGTGACATGTATTACAGGAAAATCAGTAATGAGATGAAGCAAGGGAATGTTTTGGCTGAAGTTGCTGACAGAAGAGTTGTTACATATGAAAAAAGATGGAAATTAAAAAATCTGCTAAAGAAAACATATCTGAGACGTTGGGTTGGTGCACTGGATGCTGAGGGGAACGAAGCTGAGCTCCGCCAAATAGCATAGATTTCGTTACTATATATATATATATGTTTTTTATGCTTGCAAATCGTGGAGTGATATCTATTCTACAAGTTTAATCTATTCTACAAGTTTAACATATACTTATGTGGATTATGTTATTACTGTCTTCTTCCAGATTGAGAATCGAAAATGCTACACTGAAGGAGAGCATGGAAAGTATAGAACTCCTGACTTCTACAGTTCATAGATTGCGTCTTTCACTTCTTAAGGTAATCTTTCAGCTTTCCATCATGCATGCAAACATGATATCAAGAACGTCCGAGACTCGCTGTTTCTTTGCTTCAGACATGGGCATGTTATGCTTGAATATTTTAGACTGTTGATTTTGAACATTATTCATGCAAAACTATGTTTAGGTTTACTGAGTGAAACAAAAAAATTATTATCGGTGTCGGAAGTTATTCTTATATTATGTTCTGTCTGTGGACCTTTTTTCTTTAATGCAAATTGACCATTTGAAGCTAAGTTACATTCAACTGTTAGTAATAGCTTTTTTAATTCTTGTTCGACTTGAACGATAAATGACAAAGCTATTCGGTTTTGCAGGTAACAGAGTTGATTAATTCTAAAGATTCAGATGCTAGCGCATCAGAAACACTTGATGAGATCATTACTGAGGCAAAACTTGTGAAGACTGCCCTTGGCAGCTCCCTGCCCGTTAGTTGGTCAGCCGAGGGAGATGGTGAACCGATTGGAGATAGTATAGACTGCGAGGCAAGCAATATGCTCGAGGATTCTGGCAGTCGGAAAATAGATTCAGTTTCTGCTGCAGGGTTTGAGATGCTCGATCTGCTAACGCTTGCTGCTCAGATATTAAAGGAAAACCCCCGAACCTGCTCTTCAAGTACACCCTGAATTTATCCCGATCCATGTTCTAGCCCGGATTTCAACTTCGACATAAGCACATGTGATGCCAAGTTTTTCATGTAGAACAACAGCTCTGTAAAATAGGAGAGGTTGAAGAAAACAAAGTTTCAGGTTTCGGGAATTCCATGGCCAAGTGTGAAAAGGGGGTTGGGCTGTGTCTCCTCAGACAATACCATACATCTGTGCAAGTAGTCTGTTTCTTCCATGGTATACATTGATATGTTTGTGGTGTTAATAACTTGAAAATCTCAGACAATATGTTATGTTCTAATGAGATTGGGGGGGGGGGGAACTTATATAATTCGATATTATTATAGAAATTTTTAATAAAATTTTGTATTTTTTTAAAATGATCTGAATTTAAAATGGCTAAATTTAAATTAATTCAAACTAACATCAATTCAATTAACGTAATTGACAACTACAGTGTATTGCCTTATGACCGATAATCATTACAAGAGTATGCTTTTATGATCTCCATTTTCTACCATTTTTTTAAATATCTCTGAAACCATTGAGGGACTAAGCCAAAAACCTTTATTAGGGATTGAGATAAAAATAAAATTTGCTGGGAAAGCAAGAGTTCTATTCTAAATGATTAAATTGAATTATTTATATTCAACAGGGGCTTAAAGTACAGTTTCACCACTTTGTCTAGAGGTCTAAGGTCCCTTCCTACCCTTTAGATTTGCCCCCGAAACTGGGTAGGAGCATTAACCCGAATTTAATAGTTTCGACTTGATTTGATACAATCTTAAAGGATTTTTTTTTTGGTTTTTTTATAAAAAAAAATTAAATTTAGGCCAGCTGATACAATCTTAAAGAATTGGTTTCTGTTTTTGTTGAAAAAAATTAATTTTGGTCGACTCATAATTTTTAAGGGTGAGATCAGATCGAATCGAGTTTAATTTTAAGATTAAAAATTCTTGATCGATCTGAAATAATATTATAATGATCTCTTATATATTTATGAATAATTATAATAATACATTTCTCTATTTTCTCAATTAGGTCCTTATTTCATCTAATAAAAACAATTTGTGTCGGCCATAAAAAAACAATTTATGTCGGATAGGATCAGATACGGATAAAGGAGCATAATACTCATGTCAAATTTGAGTTGATCAAAAACTTGACCTAACCTATAATCATCTCTAACTGAAACTATAACAACAACCATGTCAACCAAGGAAAATTCTAAAATAGACGTCACATACCGAAAAACACCATTAATATGATATATTAATGTGCATCACTAATTAAATTATCATTGTTAAATAAATATTAAATATTCTAATGATCTATCGACAATTAAACCTTTATTAAAATTTAATTTCAATTCTAATAAGAATATAATTAAATCATGATTTTTTTCATTAAAATTTAAAATTAAAATTTAAAATTTTATTTGTTCAAGATTTAAACACTTAATTTATATAAGTTTCTAAATTCATCACCAACAACAACATCAAGAATCAATCGCCAACAACTAATTGGAAAACCATTTTCATGGCCCAAAAACCTTCACCTGTGATCTTGGTTTATGAGCTTCATAATTTTAGTGAGATGGGCATTATATGACGATGAGATTAACCCTTCTCCAAGCTTGTTATCATAATTGAAGTTATTGGTATTTGAATGCAATCCCTTTAACGAAAATATCATCCATGTCGGTTGCTGCTTTTCCTTCTCTTTCCTGTAGAATCATACAGCGGTAGGCACTGGACGCTTGCTGATTTGGCCGATTTCTCATTGTTGTTTTCAATTCAAAGTTTATCCCCACATGCCCCATGGTTAAATTCATTTTTAAAAAAGCTGTTTCATTCCATTTTCACAGTTCTTTACCCTCCTCCTTCATGATCCTACGATGAACAGGACTTGAAAGGTACTGCTCTGCAACTTTCAAGTTGCAAAATGGATGAACCAGCCATGCTTTCATGATCCTACGACAATCCATAATGTCATTTTATACCCCCACTCTTGAGTATTTTAGTCGTATAATCAATGGAACAATATATATTTCAAAATAAGGAAACCTTTAAGCCGCAATCTTGGTTTATGAGCTTCACAATTTTGGTGAGATGGACATTATACGACGATGGAATTAACTCTTCTAGACTATACATTATAAGAAAACGGTTCTCTGTCAACGAAAATGGTTTTCCGACGATGAACAGTAGTCGCCGACAATTGATTCTTGATATTGTTAATATGTAAAGTTATATAAATGAAGTGTTTAATCAAACAAACAAAATTCTAAATTAATTATAATTTTTAATAAAAAAAATCATGATTTAATTATGTTCTTATTAGAATTAAAACTAAAATTTAATAAATGAAGTGTACGATGTTCTCTCTAGGCTCATCCGTCAACCAAATAAAGATTTGGTTGATTATTTTGTAAGATCGTCTTCATAGACTAAAACTAATATTTTAGGTTACGGATGTATGATTGAAAAAAAAAACTATATCAAAAGTTACAAAATTATGAAATTTTGAAAATACAAATTAGATTATTAATAAAAAAAAACTATATTCATCCCTAATTGCTTCAATGACTACTTTTTAACTTTATAAATAATGGTATATCATCATGATGAGGTTTTGATTTTTGCAGGCTTACTGTAATAATTAAGAACCATCAAAGCCGTTGAAACAATAAAAACCATGAAGTGAATCTTATTTCCAAAAACAAACAAATAACCCAATTGGCACATCATACGATCTCAGCTTTGCAACAATGGATTAAACCAAAAAGAAGAACCCAAGGATGTTCAGATACTCCATGAAAGCAAAAGTGATGTGTACGAGTTCTTCTCACGACTCGGTAGCGATTTCCACAGAAGGAACCATATCGGTCGCGGCGTTGTTGTGTTTCTGCGATCGTTCGTCTCGAGCTGGCTGTAGTTTCCCTCTCCTTGAAGAGTTGGATATGGTGGTTTGCAGTAGAGTTTCCCTTCATGTGCTATGTAGTTTGATGGGATAATGGTGCAACCTCCATGGGTACACTTGAAGCAGCTCTTGTGGTATACTGTTCCATTCACAGTGACCTTTAAAAACACAAAGAGAAAGGGGTGTCAATCTATGTTTCTCGAATCCGAATACATGTGTTGGATACGAATAATGTATCCGACTCTAAGATTTTTGTTATCTAGAACGTCTTTAGAGGATTTATCTCGTACTCCTGACAAAATAAGTATCGATATGAGTAGAAAGAGTTCGAGTAATATAGATTTTAATTACCCTCTCAATTGGATAAGCAGTCTTGTTGCAGCACTTGCATCTCTCTCTGGTGCCCTCAAACATGTTCAACACTTTTGCTGCATTCTGTTCGATTCGATACAAATCAGAGACAAGATTAAGAAATCATAATGTGTTTATTTATTTAAATATCAATTAAATATACAACCAATTTCTTAACTTTAATAATTTTATCGTTAGTGTATCAAATAATTATCTATATATATATATATATATAGTTTGCAGGAATTACCTCGTTTTCCTTTTGTCTTTCTGGTTTGGCGATCTTTGGTATTCCTGAAAAAAGATTTGGGAAAAAACTTTAGCAGATTGTTCAGGATCTTTGTTTTATTCGAAGTATTCTTATCTGACACTCGTCTTCGACATATGAATATAAAGATATAACCTTTAAGGATAATCTAAATACATGATCTTTAAAAAGATCTAAACATATATTTGTCGAATAAATACTCATATCCGAAATACTCGTATCGATACTTACACCCGAGCTCAAATAACATAAGTAAAAAAAAAATAATTCAATAGAAAATTTTACCTTCAAAATCTTGTCCAGACTGCCAGTTCTCTTGAAGAGTGATCAAAGTGAGGTCTACAGTATAAACACCCCTTCAAAAGAGTTGTAGTTGCTAAGCTGCCAATAAAACAAAATAAAATAAAATCTCAATATTGTAAAATATATATGGGTTAATTGTACTAAATGTTCTTCATTATCATTTTCAAACTATCCTAAGCTTAAAACATTTTAATTGAGTTCTTAAATGTCAATATTGTGTTAGTTAGATCCTTTTATTAGTCTATCAACTGCGTTAAATATAAATTTTGGATCTGACATGTGACATATTTAAAATATTAAGATCAAATTAGTTCATTAGTGGAAACTTAATCTAATGTGTCAAACAAATTTGGGTAAACTACACTAATAGTTACTAAACTTTAAGACATTTGACTTTGAACATGAATTTTTAAATTTTGTATTAGAGTCACAGTACTTTTAAGAACTCAACTGAGTTCTTAAAGTATTATTCACATAATTAAATTTTAAAATATTAATATTTTCAATACTCAATTAAATATTTTAAAATTTATAAAGCAATTTAAAATCTCATAATCAGAAAATCAAGAATGGCAAGAATAAACAAATTCCAATACATTTTCATTTAGCTACTAAATATGTTGTAAATATGACAATAATTTGATCGAATTTGATAGGTTTGATCTAATAAGATTAATCTTTTAAAGAAAACAATTCGATTTCAAGTTGGGATAGGCCGAATTTGAATTTGAATTTGAAGGGAAAATATACTATCAACCTTATATGAGATAATATATGGTTTTCTTTTATTTATTTAAGAATAATTGTTATAATATATCTCCATGTAATTTTTTCAGTTATATCACTATTTTATGAAATAAAAAGTACAATATATATATATATATATATGTGCGCGCGCGCCAATAAGTGTTGGCACAAGTGGTTGAGATTCAGGAATTTGAGCTTGTAAGGCCAAGTTCGAATCACACCACCTTCGCTCTTGGTGAGCAATCTGTAAAGTCCTATTTAAATCCTAATTGTATCTTAGGTATGCCTTAGCCCTGGATTGGGGGAGCCACCCCTGTATATAAAAAAAAGATGTATTTATTCCGGGTTGGATCAGATGAGATATAAATTTCCATCCTAAAATTCAAGTTGAGATCTCCCTACACGTGAACCGAGTCGAGTTAAGGAATATACTTCTCTCAGGTTGGGTCATGATGACCAGAAATCTAACCTTACTTCACTCGTTGACATCCCTATTTATATAATTCTAATCATGTCCGATATTAGAGACATACTCGTATTCGATATTTATCCGAATTCCATTAACATCGATATCGAAAATCATGGATGACAAAACAAAGAGATGTTACCTTGAGGGTACCCCTGCAATGGTGGCATCGGAAGCAAGCCTTATGGAAAACCCTATTATCAGCCGCCAACTTATCCACCAAATACACAGTCTTATCGCAAGCACTGCATTTTTGTTGAGTCCCTTGA